CTGTTGAAAACTGGGGCATGATGTGATGCATATTACCAAGATTCTATTCCTAGTTTTCAGTCCACGTGTATCTGTTGCTTTTGGAGAGTCTTGTGGTTTTTCCTGCCTCATGTACTAGCAATTTGTCTTTCCTTTCCAGATTATTCAAAAGTTCACCTAACACAGCTATTGGAAAAAGCTGAAGTGATTGCAGGCCGTATGCTTAAACTATCAGTTTTTTATCGGAATCAGCACAAAGAATACTTTGATTATGTCAGGTAAGAAACTAAACATATACAAAGTCCTTTGGCAAATTGAATGAGTAGTGAAAATACGTAAATAGAGACAGTTGTGCTAAAGCTAGAGCAGAATGTCTGTATGCTTTATAGCCCATTCAGAGGAAGGCAAAGAATAAAATACAGCTCGTTTCTTTCACCTTAACTCAGCACTTCCATTAGGCAATAATAGTCCATGTTTTGAAGCAGAAACTGAGGTACTCATAGGGCCTCCATCCTGATTAAAGTGTCTGTAATCATAATGGAGAGTTCAGTAGCCAAGTATTTCCATTGTAATGAGAAATTGAGTGAGGTGACTGAGAGTAGAACTGTACAACAGTGTGCATAGGCGTTTGCCAGCATGTAAGAGTTCCATCTCAAATATTTGCTCTCCATGTACAACCATCCCATTTCCATGCCCAAATGCAGACTCTGCAATCTGAATGTTAATTTATAGACCATGTGGGGAGGGATAGGGTTATGTTTAGACAGTGTTAATACACCATGCTTCGGTTGGAATGAAAAACCAGGATAGCTGGTTCCTGTACTGTTGGAGACCCAGTGTGCCCTTCGCACGCAGTTGGAAGCAGGAGTATAAGAGAAAAGCAGACTTTTTGATAGAGGCAGTCAAAGCTTATGTGCTGAGTGAGCAGGAGCAGCCACACAGGGCAATCTTCTCCTGTTAGAAGGATGTCACATGGATGAGAGGTAAGCAAGCAGTGTGTTGGAAGGCTGCAGCACAGACTGTACTTCTTTAATATTTATTGGGAGATGGGGCTCCTGCTGAGCCACATAACTTCAGGGTAATGGGAGTGTCACACTGGTACCTGCCTAGAATGGAAAGTTTTTAAAACAACTCAAGGCAATCTAGCTTCAAAGAAGAGACTCCATCACATTTGGGAACATTCCCGCTGTGTAGTCGTGGGTATCTGATTTATTCCAAGAGTGTATTGGATATTGCAGAGCATGGGCTTGCTCTTCCCCTTCTGTGTTTTGGAAGGATTATTTTATTGCACAAATGGACAAAGCTGCAAAACTCAGTGGAGATAGAGAATAAATTGCAGTTTTTGAGGCTGAGGCCCTCATAAACCACTGCTGCCATTCTGGGCTGGATACCACAGAAGGGAAATGTCTGTACCATTCTGATCCTCATGCTTTGTTTTCAGCTATGTAAACCATAGTGCATCTGCCTTTATGTTCATTAGTGTTGAAAATTGCCACTGAGGTGCATTTATAGCTATGGGTTTGGCCTTGTTCTGCCAAATGTGACTCCATAACTGATTGCACTCTATCTGTTCCCCTTCTTCCTGTTAAGTTCTTTCTTGGTTTGACACCAATAGAGATGAGTTTGTTTTCCCTCTGTTAGTTAGCTGGAGACAAAAAGCTGTGTTTTACCAGGCCAGTGGGAAGCTAAAATACCAGAACTGGCTGATGGTCATCGCTTTTGATCAGAAATAGATTAATACAGTCACAAGAGCTAATCCTTCTCCAGTACACCCATCTGTTTATTCTGTTAAAAACCCTAACCACATGCTTCCTATTAGGGAAAATTCCTTTTTATCCCTTGCCTGCCAATGGCCTCTGGTGTCATCACACAGTCTGGAAAAGCTCTGGTAGCATTGATATACAGGCAACTGCTCCTAGTGCTAAAGCAGCAGTCCCTAAATGGGGAGGGTTTGAGGTGACAGCTTGGAAGGGGTGTTTGTGTCACTGCAGCTTACCTGGGCTGGGAGCGCCACAAAGCAGCTCAGATCCCCCGAAAGGACGACCTATAATTAGCCTAATTGGCCACTGGATGTCAGTATCTTGCCACAGAAATGAAACCTACTTTCTCAGAATGCAGCCTGACTTTTCAAGTTGCAGAGATTTCAGGTAGTTATTTAAGCTCATTCAACCTTTTATTATTTCTCTTTTTTTTTTTCCTCCCTAGTAATCTCTTCAGTCATAAAATACTAATTCTACCCCCCGCTCCAATCAATGTCTTATGAAATAGGGCTTGAGACAATAAGTAGGTAGCATTTGAAAGGCTCAGAAAACTTCTGAAATGTATCTTAGAGTAAAATAAAGATGTGCTGCTGAGGAGATTACAAATAATGGAAAAAATTAATCACTGCTGGAAATATTACTGAGTTGTTTTGTTAGAGCAGTTTTGTAATGCGTACACTGAGTTTGTTTGCTTTGACTGCTACCTCCCACTTTAACCAAGAAAACCTTCTCTCACACAGCACCATTTTACATGGACCTATTGAAAGTTAAAAGCAGAAAGAGAACAGTCTTTCTTGGCTAGTTTCCCCTCTCCTAAAAGAAGGAAAGAAGGGGAAAAAAGGGGAAAAAAAAGTAAAAGAAAAGCAAGAGGGGAATACAAGAATCATAAGAATCTCCAGCCCCACAGCTTCATGCATTTTTAGTCTGTTATGTCAGTGAGTATAAAGACATTGTTCTAAAGGTGCCTAGCAAATATGGTATTTTGCAGGACTTATCTGAAAGGGAACCATCCCCTTTTGTATCATGTGGTTACAGGTGTAGAGGGAGCCAAAGCTGCCACTGGAGCATTCTAGAGCTTCCATACTGGGGAATGCCCTACTATACATAAATATCTCAGGTGCTAAGGAGGGTTAGAAGGAGAGTATTTTCCTAAAATTAGCAGCCTAGTGCTGCTGAGTGCATTTGGGATTTAGGTTATAAAAATTCACTTATTCATTGTACATTTCTTTTCACTGGAATGAAATTGAGCTCAGTAAAAAAAAAAAAAAAAAACTAAAAAAAAGTCTTTTCCCCCCACTTAGGACTAGTGACTGCAGAAGCTGGATACCAACCAAAGTGGAAACTAACCAAATTGCCTAATTCTCTGTGCCCAGCTCTGCACTGATTGAAGTCAGCAGCAGACCAATTAGACTTGAAATGATCGTTTGGGGACAAAAAAATACTGGCAGACAGTATATTCTTTCCTATAACCTCTCTGAAAAGCATCCTTCAGAAATAACTTTCATTGGCAGTTTTCCACATGAACTATATCGTTCCTGTGCTAAAAATGCATATTAACAAAGAGTATATTCAGCATATGGAGACTGACTTGCAATATTCAACATGTGTTCATTGTTAGAAATGTAGAGTAAGTCAGAACAAATCAGCTAATTAAAGATATTTGTGGTTTGGGGGCTTTTTTGTTTGTGCTTTTCTCTGCCTGCTACGATGCCAAGAGAGCTGACAGAGAAGGCAGTCTGGAAAAGCAGATTTTCCCCTTGAGCAGGAATTATTCTAGCTCTTCCCAAGTCTGATGCCCTAATACCATGACTCTAACCCCAGCCTTCAATTTAATAGTTTTCCTTTGTGTCCCTTCAGTTTCCAAACAGCAGGCTGTCCTAACTTTACACTTTTTCTTTACCATGTGTACCAAATAAACAATACCAGTCCTTCATTTGTAGAGAGCATCATGGGAATGCTATGCAGCCCTCTGTTAAGGATAACAGTGGCAGCCATGGCTCTCCGATCAGTGGGAAGCTGGAAGGCATCTTCTTTAGCTGCAACACGGAGTTTAACACTGGGAAGCCACCCCAAGATTCACCCTATGGAAGATACAGGTATGAGATTGCAGCTGAAAAACTCTTCAACCCAAATACTAACTTGTACTTTGGAGACTTCTACTGCATGTACACAGCCTACCACTACGTCATCCTCGTGATCGCCCCTGTAGGGTCACCAGGAGATGAGTTCTGTAAGCAGCGCCTTCCCCAGCTAAATATAAAAGATAACAAATTTCTGACCTGTGATGAAGAAGATGGGGTCATGGTATACCATCATGCCCAGGATGTTATTTTAGAAGTAATTTACACTGATCCTGTGGATCTCTCCCTTGGCACAGTTGCAGAAATTACTGGTCACCAACTAATGAGCTTGTCTACTGCAAATGCAAAGAAAGATCCCAGCTGCAAGACCTGCAATATCAGTGTTGGACGTTAAAACTTCCCTCATTCCTTAGGAGCCTTCAAACCTCTGTTGCCCATTTCCATAGTCAGACAATTCTGTCAGAAGCATGCACATGCCGCTGTCACCAAAAGCAACTACCAGTCTTCAAAATCTCCAGTAGGCACCTTAGGATTTCTTCTCTCCCTTTTTCCCTTCTGTTCCCCTGATGCTTTAAATGATTAGAAGTCCTGGATTTCTTTCTGGCAACCGTTTATACCTAGATGCTGCAAAAATTATTTTCTGTTTCTTGCCAAACATAACAAAATTCTATATAAACTGCTTTAGCAAAATAAAAATAACTGCTTATAAATGGTGTTTAAATATGCATTCATTTTAACTACTGAACAAGTACTGGGATAACTGAACAGCATGAAAGGTTGTAATTGCAGCATGATTTGAATTTCAGAGCCTAGAAATGTCAGCACTTCCAACGTGTTGTTTGACGGTGTTATTTATGTTATTTATATTAGCTAACTGAAAACAGAAACTGTGTCTCAACATAATAAATATAATAGAAAAATATTTTATTTGTACTGTTGTATAAAATATTATACAATCATATAGAATATATAGATTACATTTTAATATCAATTGTATACATGTCATTAAATCATTTTCCCTTATCAAAGATGTAGTTTGTAAACTTCAAATAGCTCTGTATCTGTTCCTGTTGCTCTAGATGACTTTAATTAAAACAGATTTATGAAGACCATTTCTAAATTTGATTTGATTCATAAAAGTTATAAATTATTAAATCAGTACACTGAAACAACAAGTGGCTGCAAAATAAAAAGTTCCTTTTTTAGTATTCATTTTTTCCTCGATACTTGAAGATGTGTACATCTTCCAAATCATGCCATTACATACTAGATAAATACAAACATGGTTGGTACGTAATAGGCTTTATATAATCAAAATCTTCTTACCAAGATAGAAAACAAGTTGCTTATACTATGTGGTCAATACAAAATGACAGGGTAAAGCAAAACACTAAACATGATTCAACTGGTTCTAGTAACGTTTTTCTTTTCTTTAAGTAATTCTTCCCTCCTTTCTGTCTGGGCTAGGAATTTCCCAGAATCCCTGCTTTTCGTTTCTAGTACAAAACCTGCTGATAATCCTTCTATTACTAGTATACATTTCACACCAATGGCCTATCACAAATAATGACAATTCTCCTTAATATTACAAAGTGTGGTGCTCTGAAAGTTAAGAAAGATGCGTAATTCCAAGGGAAAAATAATTTTTCATAACCTTATTTTCAGTAAATAAGAAGTCTAGCAGTCCGCATCAGATAACTGTGGCACTCACTTATATACCACGTACTTTATCTATCCAAAATATCTTAGCATAATGCAATAATCTAGTCCTGCTTTTATATATATATATGTGGCAGTTTATAACACAAGAAGTACCTCAACATTTTACAAAGTGCATGCGTCTAAATGAGCTTTGGTAGTTAGAGAAGCAAATGTTATAGCATCAGGCAAACCAAAGTGCAAAGGTTAATAGAGAAATCAAAATTAGCATGTAGTTGATCTATTTACTGACTTTTAAATTCTGTGAGCCAGGTCCTGTGAACTAATAAAAAGGACAGCAGCCAGTACATTTGTTCCATCTTTTCTCAGCAACCTGTAGCTATTACATTTTGCCAAGCACTTTCTCTTATTCCTACAACACCACTAGTTCCATTTCACAGTCGTGTTCTGGCCTTTTCTTGCATAAGCAGCATCACTGCTCTACTCCCAGCCCTGGCACTGCTTCTTCCTATTCTCCTTTCTTTGAAACCACTGGAATTGAATGGCAACTCTGCCTTGACAGCTAGAGTATGTTCTGAGTTTTTCCTTCACTCACATTAATTCACTTATTTTAATCTAGTGAATCAAGACCTTAATAGCCAACATTACTAATTAGTTATAACACATGTTATTTCTGGAAACAAACGTGTGGCACATTAGCATGTACTAAGATGTACTAAAAACCTGCAGAACATTTCCTTGCACTTTTAAAGCAGGTCAAACTGAGAATCTATGTTACTTCAGTGTCCTTTTAATTTCTTAACATTCTCACAGTGCACTTCAAGGCTTTTCCAAAAGGAAAAATATATACTATAGTCCACTCACCCGTGCTTAATATTCTTGCATATTGCTGTCCTCTCTCATCACAGTTACTACAATTGGTAAAGTGCATCAAAAATCTCAGTGTGTCAAATAGTCGTGCAGCAGACCAAGACCTGTAAAACTACTTTCCCTTTTTCATTACTTGTTTGTTTGCTTGGATTTTTTTTTCTTTTTTCCTTTTTTTTTTCCTAGAGTACAATATCACAGCATTGCATTCTCTTCAAATCGTTTTGGAAATATCATGCTTACTGATGAGAACCTCCAGGAGCCTGATTTTAGCTTTTGTGTGCTTGTATTCAGAGTATTCCTCAGCCATTGGCACCCGATCTTCTTTCTGAGGACTCCTATGAAAAGCAAATAAAAGCACTATCACTTTTTATGAGTAAGAAGAGAAAGAGTCTTAAAAATTAATTCTGCAACAACTGATGAGGATTGGGGCTTTTTTACTAACTGTAAATGACTAAAGATAATTTGACAAGACCACAAAGTTCTCTTATACAGAAATAAAATTATATTTAAAATACTGAATTTTTATATACCAGACAACATTCTTTACAGCTGTGGAAGCATAATTACTTGATTCTCAAATATGCAGAGAAGTCATAATAGTGCTTTGAAAACTGTTACCAGTCACCACTTTTACCAGTGCCCATACACACCACGGATTTCAACAAAAAAGTTTGCTAAATGAAGAGGAGGAAAAACAGAGTGAAAAATGGCCAGTATTTAATTCTGGGTTTAAAAAACAGTGGCTTCTGGCTTTAAAATCTGGCTGTTTAAAAATGGCCCAACTTTCAAGTCTATTCCCTGCAGACTGACATCCTCAGAAAGAGAATTTTTAGTAGCCTCCCTTCAGCTCAGGGAATACCCTGTGCTAAGGTGGGGTTTGTATCCATTGCAGACATGTCCTGGAAGATCCCCAAATCCTGGCTTTCCTCATGGAAGACCATATTTTGAAGGAACTAAGCAGAGAGATAGATGGACATCTCCAGAGACCAGACATCTCCAGGGTATTTTCCAGCCCTTAGGTGCAGCCCCTTTGGCCTTTTCACCCTAGAGTGTCTCCCTCACAGAGAAAAACACCCCTGCCCAGGACCCAAAGGGGACAAGGAGAGGGCTCTGCTGAGTTACCTTCCTGTCTGTTTGTAGAACTGCTCCTCAAACTCTCGAAGAGCTTTGCGAAGTCTCTTCTTATCAGCTCTTGTTTCTCTGAGATGTTCAAGCAGAACGGGCCTGTGAAACAGAGACAAGAACATGAAACCCCCTTGAGCTTAGGAGGGTTGTAAAAGCCCTGGATTTGTGTAGCAGAGAGCTTTTGCTCTGGGCCCTTGGCAGGCACTGGCCAGAGCCCTCAAACATTCCATCACTCTCCATACACGGCTGTAGTTCTTCCCTCTTACTGGTATTCCAGCTCATAAAGGGAAGGCAGAGACTCTGGTCAAAGCATTGAGGACTGAGCCTTGCTACTGGTCTTAATTCCCTGTGGAATTAATGGAGTTGACAGGGCTCAGTATCTCACAGGAGGAAATACTGTAGCTGAATTAAAGTCAACATCCAAGCCCTGCTCCTATTTGTAGCTGTTCCCAATCTTTACTGTGATGCAGTGGAAATGCTAGTGGTACCCAGAAGCATCATTTTTGGAGGCCATGTTTTAACTAGTGTTTGGAGAATAAGGGTTTTAAGCAGAGAGAATTCTGTTATGACATTTGTTCTTGGTAGTTTGTTAGTTTGTTTGGGTTTTTTTGCATAATGACAAAATACACAGAAATATCTTCCCAGTATTCATGAGCAAACTATTGTGCACGTAGTTGAGTTACATAAAAATCTAAGTAATTTTTATTTGATCTCTATAGTGTTAGATTCTAGTTAGATTCATTTATGCATCTAAGACCTCCAGTCAAAACACAAAAGAAAGATACCATCCCCTAAGGTATGAGAATATATCTGTTCTTGGAAGGCACCATCTTCAGCAAGTTACCTTTCTCTTCCTGGAGACAAAAAGCTGGCACAAAGTTGTTTGAATAAACAGCTCAAACCATCAGTGTGCTGCCCAAACAATGAATGTCCTCTGCCTCCTCTCTCCCATAAGGAAGGGGCTTGGAACACAAGCCCTATGAGGAATGGCTGAGGGAGCTGGGGTTGTTTAGCCTGGAGAAAAGGAGACTCAGGACTCAGGGATGAACTTATCACTCTCTGCAACTTCCTGAAAGGTGGTTGTAGTCAGGTGGGGATTGGTGTCTTTTTCCATGCAGCAACCAACAGAACCAGAGGACACAGTCTCAAGTTCCATCGGGGAGATACAGGTTGGATATTAGGAAGAAGTTTTTTATGGAAAGAATAATAAAGTATTGGAATGTTTTGCCTGGGGAGGTTGTGGAGTCACCATCCCGGGATGTATTTTTAAAAAGACTGGATGTGGCACTGATGCCATGGTTTAGTTCAGGTGTTAGGGTGTGGGTTGGTCTTGATGATCTTAGAGGTCTCTTCCAACCTAGTTATACTGTGATACTGTGAAAGCACTGAATCACTCCTTTGGTATAGAATATACCTATGCAACAGGTATGGCTCATATTTCTCTTACAGGCTCGTATTTCACTTACAAAGTCTACAATAAATGTTTTAAAACATTTGGGGGGGGGAAAAAAAGAGAGAACTTACATTGTTGCCTCATGTAAATTGGACATAGACAAGGCTGTTTGCCTGTAAACTTTCTTTTCATCCAGAGGTGAAATACGTGCAGGCTCACTCTCCTCCTGTGAGTAACACAGATGCTCTTCGACAGGGAAGCAAGTCATTGGACCAGACGATAACTCATGGCTGCTTTGAGAATGGTCTTCATCTGAGTCTTCCTCTTCCTGCTTGGGAAATGCAAAACATTATCAAATTAATTGTTTGAATTACAATACTTACAATAATAGGCTGACAACATAAAGAATTAGGATCTGACTTCCTGGATGTATTCATTGAAATATTACACATACTGAAAGCTTTACCACGTCTACCTGAGGTTGTTCATGAAAGAACTCCTGGGGTCACTAGGTTACTGTGTATTGCCTGCCAGGAGTAAAAAGGACAGAAGTTGGCCCTGCTCCCAAGTATCTCCAGCCAGCAATTTATTTCTGTCTGCCCAAAAGCCCTTACATACAGCAAAGATTTAACTAACATTCTGTATTTATGTAAGCAGTGCAGTCTGGCTGGAACTTGTATTCCTCTTACATACACATCTCCTGTGTGTATATTATACACAGATGTTTTGACTGTAAAAAGAGTTGGAGGGAGAGATTCCACAGTTTTATAGCTACTAATGTTAACAACTAAAATAAACTGATATTGGTGTCTTGCTCACATTCCTCCATCCTCAGAAAAAAAGCTGAGCTATTGAAACTAAGACTTAAACATAAGAACTCCATAGGGCAAAGCTCCTAACAATAGCACTTAGGGCGAATTTCAGTGAAATTTTTCAGTGAAATACCTATGAGCCAGTGTGCAAAGCTTTGCACTGTGATTTTTCAAAGAAATGTAAAGTTACACTGTCATCAACAAGGCAATAATAATTTTTAAAATTGACCTAGCCCAAATTACTATCAGATTAGTGTTTTTGGTAGACATGCTAGTTAACTTCGAAGTAGCCAGATTCCACTGCCTTCACTCACTGTGAGACCAGTACTGTTCCCTTGCACCAATATATTATTAAAATACTACAAATTGCATATATGTGCTACGATTGATAGCACTGTTGATAAGATATAGAAGTTAGATATAGTGACGGCAGAGTCCTTCATGGAAAGAGAAGGGTTTTCTTCTGTGTTGCAGATCTTTGCCACAATGGAAAACTAATGCCAGCCTTCTATGTCTTACCCAGCCCACTAAAGTTCTTGCCTCAGAAACTGTTGCTGTACATTGGAACCTCTGCAATGCACAGAAATTGAATTTTACAGAGCATTTGCTCTATTTGAAGTATCAACACCCTGTATTAACCAATGAGCAGGGTTTTTGGGTCTCAGTAGTTCTATTGTTGCTAAATAGACATACAGGTACAAATCAAACACAGCATTTTGTATGTTTCCTTGACAATGGATGAATTCTTTCCAACTTACAATTGTTGTGATTAAAGATGGAGCAGCCAGAAGTTTCTTGATAATTCTGTATCTGTCATAAAGAGGTTTAATGAGACTCTTTTCTTGCTTAGTTACCTAAAGAGAAATAATAACACAACATAGCTCTCAAAAACTAAAAAATAAAAAATAAATTTAAAAGTTCTCATTTTCTCCTGTAAAGCTGAGAAAGGTATTAGAAGACTATGAGCAAATGTGTATTTTGCTTCAATAGATATTCCATGGGAATTGTAATTTAATCGATGCAATTTCTAAAAAGGAAAATTATGATCTATTTTCTAATAGAGAACCCAATATGGTTGCCTCACTTTCCTGAGCCACACTGCCCAGGCAGAGGGTAAACTATTCTCTCTCTGAGGCTGCTGCTGTGCCTTGCATTGCCAGCTCACCTCCTTAGCTGTGATGACAGTAGCAGGAATGCCAGAGCCTGCCTGAGACAAGCCACTCATCAGCCCAGTGGGATGGAGAGCACCAAGAACATGGCTCTGCAGCCTGCACGTGGAGCTGGCACTGTGCAGGATTGCTGCATGCATTCCTCACCAGAGCTTCCTTCCACAATGGGGATTTACTGTCTGTTCATTTGCTTTCACGAGCACTTGGAGCACTGATTTGGAAGAGAATATGATTTTAAATCAAGTGCCTGATCCAGCCACAAATGTTCACAAATACAAAAATAGGGAAAGTAGCTGTGCACTAGATTGACTTACTGCACTAAGGGAAAAAAAAAAAGCAAATTCCACAAAGAAAAAAAAAAAAAAAAAGACCCTCGCCAGCCAACCAGCCACACCACACCACCACACCCCCACATTTTCCTCAGTGATAAATTGTCCAAATAGGGTCATTTGCTCCCTAGTCCACCATCAGCCTCTGCTCATCAGCTCCCACACCTATGAGCACTTACTGGGTGCATTTTCACTGATTTTTGGCACTGCAGAGATCCCAGGTGCACCCACTCAGATGAGTGAACACATGGCAGGTCTGAAGAGACACAGACTGGCTGATGGCACAGACAGTAGTCCACAGCTGCTCAGACAGACAAATGCCTGGTCAGCAGGAGCAAGGGGAACAGTAGACAAACACAGGCCAGTGACACTGCACACATCTGGCTGAAGGAGTGCTTAGGGACACTTCTAGAGCCACCTTTCACTGCAAAATGTCAGGGCTTGCCAATCCCAGCCCGGCCACTTCTCTTCCCCAGGTGTCATGTTCCATTTAACTACAACATATAAGAGCTCCAGGGGATGCCAAACATGCCAGAAGAGATAATTTTTTGCTTTAAACATGTTCAGTGGCCGCTCTGCCTTATCTTGTCAGGTAAGTCTGGGTAAAGATAGAGCTGAGCCATACCAGATATCAGCAGGGCAAACATCAGCTCCGAATACTCCACTGTGTTTCAAGGCTGCTGTTACAGAGCTACTTCAGCCCTGAGAAGAAGCACCCTCTCTGAACCTTATGCTACGAAGGTGCCCTATTATTCTCTTTCCTATCTCTGAATCAAGTCTCTTTCACCTCTGCATTGCACTAATAATTTCTTTTTTGTTTTCCCTCTTAGGAAATATAATTTCTTCATATCCTTCTTGCATACTCACTCCATTCCTCAGCTCTCATTCCAAGCCCAAAGAAGATGAAGAAAAATGAGGTCAGAATCAGATCATAATTTTAACAGCTGGCATATTTTTGGACAAACAGTGGTGCCAGTTCGCTTTTCCCCTACCACAATTACTACTAGCCAGGAAAAGATATTCACAATAATACAGACATTGACATCAAAAAGAAATTCCTCAGCTGTGTAGACAAATTTTCAAACCATCATCTCATCAATTTTGGCATTTTTTTTGCACCTACATTCAGCAATGAATTTCACTAAATGGATTTTAAGTAACAGTTTAAATCCTGCTGTGTAGTAAAGGCAAACACATACAACAGGTCATGTAATTTTGTAGTTCATATCTCAGATGATGCCCTATAGAAAACCTTCCTCAGTTGATAGGCATTCTAATCATACATGATAGCAGAGCCAAATCTGCTGTGAATATTTAATCTTACAATTTAATCCTCAAATCTTGCATTTTCCAATCATGGAGAAATACGGAGCCACTTTTTATTTTACTTTAATTTCTAACATATAAACCAAATTCATCAGTATCAGGCAATAACATTTATACCTGAAAATTGGTTAGAAATAACTAAAATAATGTTAATTGTGTAAAATTCATTTAAATATATTTAATATACCAAAAATATTGATTAGAGAAGTTAGATAATTTTTAATTCACTTATCTTTCTATGGCATATTTCAGGTTTTCCATGAATACCCTCAAAATAGAGTAGATATTTCTGAAGATTTATTTTTTCCAAAGCCATTTGCTTTTTTGTCCTATTTTAAAAAGTTATTTATAAGATTGTGAGTCAGGATTTCATGACAAGGGTACAGGTATATATATGTTTAATAATCTCTTCTTCCCTGATAAACATTAATAATTAACTCTGTTTCTGTCTGCACTGAGGTCAATGGGGACTTGGCAGTAGCTTAGTAAGAAAAGAGTCAAAAATTACACTACATATATATTAAGTATGTTCAATTGTAAAAAATGAGAGCAACCACCATTCTAGATAAAATACTCAGAAAGTTGAAAAATGCATAGATGGCATTCCTCAACTTTTTAATTATTCATCAAGAAAGAGAAATAGATTTGCCTTGGCTGGTAAGGGATGTAGAACAGAAAGACTTAGCAATGCAAACCCAACATGTCATGGTAAACAGCTTATTTCTGTTCAAAAATTGCAGTATCAATCACTGGTACCAAAAGAACGTTGATTTTTCAGTGTTGGTGAATGATCAGTATTTGTACAGGTGTCTGCTGTGGGAAGCACTCAGTGTAACAGGTATTTGTCACCTCCCTTTCCCCAACAAGACCTGCTCCTGACAGTTGCATATTTTCACCTGGGCCAGAACACCAAGGCACACAAGAAGTGAATGTCATTTCCCACAGTCTCTGCCAGATCACAACAGAGTCACTTGAGTTAGGGCTGAGTGTTCAGAGGTGTGAGGGCAATGAAGTAATGTGAAGAACCATGGAGTTGGAGACACACACAGGGGGCCTTTCTGCAGAAAGCTGATGACAAGAGGGCTTTTAGTGACAACTTGGAGAAATACTTTTACTAATTAGATGCTACTTTTAAGAGTATAGCAATCCTGAAGAAGTGATACTCTTCTAATATCAGAATACCTTCCTATTAACTTCAACAGGAGCAAATCCTTTTTTCTTTGATACTCAAATGCAAAAACAGTGCAGAGACATTAATCAGAACTGCTAATCACATTTTCCTAAAAGGTCTGCATAAGTTAATCACTCTAAAATCATCTGTCATTCATATTAAGAGATGAGCTGCTAACTAGAATGCAGGAGTATTATAAATCAGTTAATTTGTTTATTTATTGCTAGTTCCACAATTAATACAAGGTTAATTCTTTCAAAAACTAATAAGCTTGGAGCAACTGAGTGATTAGGAAGAAATGGGGTGATAATTAATATTGATTTTACACAACAGAAACAATCTCAAGCGGGCTTAGAATTTGAGCTTATTTCATTTGCTCATTTTATTAGCAAGCTCAAGACAGGTTGGTATTCAGCTAAGTTTGAAGTAGCTAATAATTTTAAAATGAGAGAAGGCAGCTGGAGTCACAGACTACAGAATTGCCTGAGACATCTTAGGACTGTAGGCTACATAGATCAGCAGGAGATTCAATGCTGATTAAATAGAAACACTGCTTCATAGTCAAGGAGAATATGAATTGAAGTGGGTCAATGATGAGAAAACAGATACATAAAGGGAACCAGGCCAAGAAAAGCCTTGGGGGACAGGCTGCAAACATTCAAACAGAAGTCAAAAGTTATTTGTGATGTATAAAGAAAGAAGAAGGGGACTGTAGGCAGACAGTTTGTGGTGATTGGGAATGGAGCTGCAGCCTCATCCCTAATGAGCTACAACTGTGTAGGACAGGTGGACAATATTGAAGGCAAAGAAACATAGAATGCTGAGGGGGAAGGGTAGAGGGGGCACACAGGTGTAATGCATGTAAGATGAATGGTATAAAAGGTTGTGCTAAAGAAAAATAGTGCTTATACTTAAAGCCTTCTTCAGTGTCAGTTGTACCTCCTCCATCAAGGAACTTCACCTAAAGATAATGTAGTACTTTGCTTTTCATAACTTGGAACACAGGCACACACAATATTGTATACTATTATCTTCCTTACTAGCCTATTCTGTTCCCTGCATGCTTATGCCTTCATGCTTGCTGTTGTTTTTCCAGACAGAAAATACAAACTCCAGGGACAGATGGACAGACAGTCCAGTGAGGGCTGGGCTGGGGCCTGCCCAGGTCCTGTTAAAGACAGTGCTTTGTTTCCATGCAGGCACAGAGTCAGGTTCCCAGGGCCTTATGCCCTTATGCCTTATGCCTTATGTCCCCATGCCACTTGGGGATGTGTGGTGGCTCATCACAAAGCAGCATTTAATACAAAATTAGAAATAAAAAGTATAAAGAAAGGCAACAAGTGATATGGCGCTTCCATAGAGCAGTGCCAGTTCGCGTCATGCCAGCTCTGACCTTACCTTGCTAGGAAAGGCTGGTGAGCCAGACCTGAGCACCAGAGAGCTGCTGTCCCCTCAGGGGACAAAGGCAGCAATCACAGCCCCAGCCACCCAACACTCAGACTGGATTCCGAGTTGGGAGTTGGCTCTTGGATTTGCTTTTGGGGGGATTTGATGCAGCTTTTTGAGTAATATTATTAAAAGTGTGTTTATTTGCCTTTTATCTCTTGAACTCCTATATTCATGCTCTTATTCTTTATTTTTTCCTAACGCCTTTTACCCAAACCCAAGGTAAGCTATTACATAAATTACCATCTCCCCACACAAGGAGTTACTGACACAAACAATAGCAGGTGGCCACCCCTTTGTGGGGTAGTGAGCCATTCACAGCCCCACCCCAATTTTCTCTATGCCTTCTCATTCAATAACTTTACTTACAGGCTTTTTTTGCAGGAGGCAAACCTGGAAACCAGATCTTGTGGTCTGTGCTTTTTAGACATACTGGGAATTTACTCTGCACCTTTCTAAGGACACACATGCTCTCATTTGTATTTCAGCAGTGCTTTAGAGGTATTCCACAGTGAATTCTCCACTTCAGGGGAGAAGTTGGCAGGCTTTCATGGGAACACTATCTTTGGCTAAAATAACTAAATACCAAAAAAAAATATAAACATTTAGCTGCTATTTACTATTAATCTAGGTCAGATTCTAGTGAAGCATCTAAATGTTACATAGAAAACAAAATGTTGCACATAAAATATATCTACAGTAACACTGAAGTTGTTTGTAGCTGATAGGAAGCCTTTGATCTTTGCTGTTACCACAGACATCCTTGATTCATTTCATGTTGTCAGTGCCACCCCATTCTCCCCCAAAAGTCCAGGATGACTCATAATCAAAATCCAATTTTTTTAATGTTATGCTTAGGGAGCATAACATTAACTAAAATATATCATTTTGAAATACATCAATTGATTTCATGTTATTCCTGCCCAAGCCTCTGTTCCTCAGCAGTTTTGATAACTATTACCAAGCACCTTTGCTAAGACATAACTTGTGTTTTAAAAACTATCTCTGCAAGAAAACAAGAAGAAAATTAATAAGATTTAAAAAAAAAAGAAAATAAAAGAAAATATTGGCAAACATTTGATTTCAATTACTTTCTTGTTTTTGAGAATACTTCAAGCCCACACTGCCATTTCCTAAATTTAGAAAGTTCTCTTGGAAAATTAGAAGTCCAAAAAAAATTTTAAAATTAATGAGACAGATACCCACACCCAACTTTTATAAAAAACGTTTTTTTGGACTGGATTTCCTCACAGACATCTGTTTTGGTGTCATCTGATCTCACTTCATTAACAAAAAAGTTAATAATTAAAAATATTATCCTACAGTCTGCACTGTTAGGATTTTAGAGCTATGTACAGAATAGCATGGTTTTGTTGCCTTTTTTTGTTTTCTGGTTATGAAACACTTTTTCCATTTCATTTTTCTTTATGAAAAAGTAGCATATAAAAAGAAACAATTAAAAAATCAGTCATGTATGCAGCACCCAAGATCTGAGAAGCATGGCATTGTTATGCACAGTCCTGGTTTTTTATAGCAACTTGTTGTTTAAGAACCAAGAATAGAAACAAAACAAAAATTAAAAATTATCTCTGCTGGGTACTCTATGCTACTGAAATCCATCCAGAATAATTTCTTAGTTCTTGCAGAGTTTCACATTAAATTCTTCACCCTCTCATTCCTTCCCCCTTTTCATTCACCAGCCAAAGTCTAAATATTAGTCAACATTTAGATTTTAGGTACCTTTAAGGGCAGAATTTATTGTCTTGCTTGGCTGTAATAGCATCAGGACAGCAATATCCTCTGACAGCTAAAGCAGCGCCCCAGAAAAGAAGCGGTTTGGGTGGTACACATCATTTTAGAGAACCCTATATTGTGCCAGAAATGTGAAGGCCGAGCAAAATTTTAACATATGTACTAGTTTTAAAACAAAACCTGATTTCCCAGCCAAGCAATCATATTCCATGGACTATTGCTCCTACATTCAGAAGAGTAATTGAGAGCATGGAAGAGAAGAGGCAGGATCAGCACAAATGTACAAAGTCAGGAGAGCAAAGCAGTCTGGATGGTTGTGCTGTCCCTGTCACCTCAGTGCATGCTACTGACTGCAGAGGCTTTCAGCATTTCTCAGCTGAGAGGGGACCTTTACCCTCAAAATACTTTCAGGAATGTTTTTAGTCACACAGTTTCCGTGGACTCAAAGTGCTTGTGCTGCCACCATATTCAATACACCAGGACATGCAGTTCTGGGCACACAGCCTCAAGTCAGCAGGTTCCTGCAGTGCCTGGCAAACAGTTTCACATGTGCATCTCTGAGCAAAAAACGCTTAGCTCTGCTTGAAAAAGCCTTGTGAACCTCTGCACCTGAGTAATTCCTCTCAGAAGAATCACTTCTGGAACCTGTACTAGAGCTCCGACCTTGCTACAGAGAAAATGCACCGCAGTGGCAGCAGACAGAGGATGCACACACCCTGGCACACCTGAGCCAGCCACACACCAATATCTGCCTCAGGTGAGAGAGTTCTGAGGGAACAGCCATGCTTCTTAAGTACCTTAATAGTCTCAGGAAGGTTGAAGTGTTGTCTTTTCTCCTTTAGTCGTCTCAACACACTGTCCATGGTTTCTTCCACTGAGAGAGCTGGTTCCATGCTTGTGGCCTCCTGTGTGCCAGCCTCTTTTGAGGTCCCACTGCCTTCACAGTGCTCTTTTCTTTGAGGTGCTGTGGAGGTACAGTTTTGCTCTTCTGACATTCTGAGTTTCAGCTCTGAAAGGCAAATTTCATGGCATGTAAATACATTAGAAGTATTTGCAAAGCAGTTTTCTCTGGCACTACTAGGATAAAACAACCCAAAACTTTCCTATTTCTTGCATGCATTATTATACCACAGGCACATAGGAAAGTAATTCTGCTTCACTTTAATGTGTAACATCTTTTGCTTCCTAGAGCAATTTAAACTGTCCCTCTCCCTTCCAGAGGCCACCCTGCCATGCCAGTCCAGCTGCTCAAGTGGTCCTTGCAAGGAGAAGCAGCCACTTTCTTAAATGACTTCCCTCTGCAGAAGAGCAGCCGAGCACCCTAGCAGAAGACACAAGCTTCCCAGTCAGCAGCCTGCCTGGATGTGATAAAGCCTGTGACTGTATTAACTTGACACCAAGCCAAAGCCCCTGGAGCTCCAGGGACCTGCACAGAGCAACAAGGAAATTGAATTAAAATCTGAATTAGCTCCCATAAAACCAGATTTTGTTCCAAGTATATGCCTGTCTGGTGAAGGACCTTGGGCAAGGCAGGAGACTGATAGCTCCAACTGTGTTACATTTGTTGAAATTCATGCAGAAACAGTAGCATAATTTTTAGCTGTGACAGTCTGAGGACTATATCTGAGGATATAGGCCAGCTTTGTGGGGAAAACCAGTAATTTTTAGTAAATCCATAGAGCTAGAAAGGATAGACAAGCCTTGCTAACTTGAAGAAAGATCTACAAGCATTTGAGTGTTTTCAATTTCAATTGTACTTGGCATGTGAACCTCATGAATCTGGCTTCACTTAAAAGCAGTGCCATTATTCAGGATAATAAAAATCAAGGGTTGTCACAGGACTGAGGCACTTGGGGTGTGAAGGTGAGGCTGATCTCTGAAGCCTAGACCCTCTGAACAGGAGAAGCAATGGTTGAGTGAGAGATATAATTTTCAGAAAAGTAACCATGTAGATTGGCCATTTCTTCTCATTTTCCCTTCCTGGATTTGCAACACAGAGTTCAAGGGGAAATAATAGCAATCATCATCATCTAGTATTCAAACAGGATAGTACTCAAGGGAGAACTTTCCAGAATAAATTGACTGAAAGGTGAGTTTCTAATTCTTTATTTACCACAATCGCATCCTTTATATCTACATTATTAACAATATCCAAAACATAGATGAAAGATAATACTACAATTTATTTAGTGGTGAGAGTCCATTTATATCGGGGGAGGAAGAGAATTTAGATAAATTATAAATAGCCTTCCAAAAAAATCAATCTGTCTTGGCTATAGACTCCCCAGGGGAAAGCATCGGATACACCAAGAGATGTTAATGGAGTGGTATGCAGACCATCAAGGGCAAAACCTCACCCTCAAGGCCAAATTTATTATCAAGGAAAGATCTGCTTTTATGATCAAAACAAATAAAATCCTTAGAGACATGTATCCTCAGTCCTGAAGAAGCATTTGCATCTATATTTGTGCTATTACAAGAAAACTTCTAACATCTGTGTTTTAAACACTCATAAAAGTGTTCAGAATAGCATCGCCTTTTCCATGGATGTTTATAGTCATGAGGGAGAGACTATGGCTTTTTCCCCTTCCCCTTTCTAGCCTTGGTATGAAGGGTGAACTGGCTCACTTTAACACTGCTTTCAGGAATCAAGGCAAATAATATCACATAATATCTTTCTTGCCATTGGAAGACTTATTGCCACACACTGTGAAAAATAAGCAGAGCAATGAGATTAAAAAACTGCCTTTAAAATGTTCCAGGTACACTTCCACTTGCAAAAGCTTCAGTAGCAAAGAGGCACAACATGCTATTATGTACCTTTGAGCTGCTTCCGACCTTTGGCCAGAGCATTCATCCACTTCAGAACCTCAGGATTGGAAGTCTTGTCACCATGCGAAGGCTGAAAGGAAAATATAAAGAATGTAAAGAAAGAGAAGGAACTGACAGTTAAAGGATCAAACAGATAAAACTCTCCCCACTCCCATTGTGCTACAAAATGTCCATAGTTCCAACTGCACTCTATCAGTGTCATGCAGAGCATCTGGCTTGATCATGGCATTAATTTGTCATGGCTTATCTCTCCCCATTGTGACACAGTGCCACAAGGATATGAGTGTTATGTCTCTGATCCCTAAAAAAATACAGCAACGAATGTTTCAGTCTCTGACTAATTGGATAAATAATCTCGGTGACTTCAAAAGGATTGATCAAATACCTAATTTTAGTCAAGTTCCTAAGTGATTTCCAGGATGGTAACTGAAGCTCTCTGTCCCTTGCAGGAATGAGCTCTTGCTTTAAGACAGGGATTCTTATGGGAAACAGCATTTTCAAAATTTCAACTGACCTGCTTAATTAATCAAATGAAAAATCCTGTGCAAGAGTGAGTTCAAAAGAAACAAACAACAAAGGCTTTGTAGATCAGGAGTTATTTTGCATTTAGAATTTGCCTGCAAATTAAAATGAATTTACACTGAATCTTCAGAACTCAAATATTTAAAATTACAAAACAGTTTTGCAAAATTAAGATTCTAAAATAATTTATTTTCTGGCCATAGTGTGAGGGTTGTTTAGGTATGAAATTGTGCTCCTAGGAGCATATAATGACCAAAGGTAATATATCATTTGCTTAATTTTAATAGTCAGAAAATGTCACAAAATGAAACACATACTGTACACCTCCTTAGTATCAGGCATGTTTCAATATTCTTATACTGCACAATTCCCAGCAGAGCACTCACCGCTGACCTCAAACAACTCCCACAAGTTTTATTTCTCTGATTTTTGCCATCAGTCTTTACTGAGCCCTGGGCTTTGGAGGTTTATAGGACTCTTTCTGAATGAAGGAATCTGCACGGCAGAACAAGGTACCAGGCAAATGTCTCCTACAAAGTGAATAAGTAGCTTTTCACCTTTTGCACCATTTTGTTTCACAGGCCTGTCAGCCGTGTTTCACTGATTCACACTTCTCAAAGATGGATATTTTGCAACAAAGGTAATCTAAAGAAAAAGTAGAGTCTCAGAACTACTGCGTACACTGTAAGATGCTGAATAGATATTAATTGAAGTTTTTCCTATGTCATTTTTCCAGAAAGACCATATCTCACATTGTTTTGAATAAGTTTAAATACACTGGGATCCTTGCCTCATTCTTGGAGTATTTACCTTTTCAATTATTGTCTTACCAGGTATTTTTTTTCTTGCTCAAACTTTTCTTCATACTTCCTAATTTTTCTCTTGAGGCTCTGAAGATGCTTGGTAAGTTGTGTTACTGTCTGTGGTTCTTTACAGTCTTCACAGCTACACCTGGAAGTACTTCTTGGCCTGCAAAAGCCAAAAGCAGAGTTGTGGTATCTAAGGGCTGGATATAATGGACCCTACCTTGTTTTCAGGCACACTTAACACTTAGGATTTCAGAATTAAAGGCCATTCTATTCTTTCACTGGCTAGAGACAGCTTAGTTTTGCAAAGTCAGCATAAAATAACTGCTTTTGCTTGAAGGTACCCCTAGGGTATTCTAATGGGTTCACCATCTGTCTTTCACTTTTTCTTCTTTTTTTAATTAATTGTGGGATTTCTGAATATATTTCAAAAAATTAATCTAGTAGGCAAGAGCCTGATCCAGTATTTACATTTAACACCCATACCTTTATTCACAAATCTTCCAAGTATAACAGGAGACTGTGGTGACAGTGATTTGTAAAAGTAAGCTCAGGGAGTTTTTCATTACTGGAAATAAACATTATAATTTTGAAGAGAGTTTAGTTTCTGATTATTTACAGTTGCAAGTCAATAGATCTGAAGTCAGTATGCAGCTGAAGTAAAGCTCTGTATATAAGCTTTTAAGAAAGTTTGATTTCTATCTGAAACTCACAGCTTGGTTTCTGGAAATCACATACATGGACTGTTTGTAATCTTTATGGCACTGTCACCCCTCATCAGTCATTCATAGCTACAGTTCAATTACAGCTGAATTTTTTTAATTACACCTAGATAGCCATCTCTATCTTGTGTTCACTCGTCACTCTAATTACTAACATATAACTGTCCTTGATAACTATAATTAACAAAGATAAAAAAATATTGTACACTGTTATGACTGAGGAAACACTAGTTCCTGTGTCTGGTGTTGCAAATTATGTCAAAATATGCTACAATACAAAAGTTTGCTTTTTATGACATAGCAACAACTGAAAAAACCCCATGAAGAGTCAAAGGCTGTGAATTGCAGAAAAAGGCTTAAAAATACATAAGAATTAAAATAGATTTCCTTACATCATGAAAGGTTGAGCACTTGGTGGAGAAGGGGCAGACTCTGTGTCTAGATTAAATCTCTGGCTCTGGCTAAAGATAGAGCAGCGTGGTGACAAGAGAGGATTGTCTCCATCTGTGATGTGATACAGCAGTCGGCTGGTCCCTAGGGAGTGTTGTTCCTGTGGGCTGCTCTCCATGTCATTCTGCCAGTCCCTGTGGGCTGGCACAGGCTCTAGAAAGAAAGTGTAAATCAGTGTGGACTGAGGATCACTCACATGGGGTTGAGCTACCTAGGTCCATAAAAATTTGTCCTTTCAGAAATATTCCAAGCATAAGTATTCAAACTGAGCAGCAAACAGATCAGCAAAGTGTCACATGCAGGGTGGACAAAGCACTGAGAATGATAAAATAGAAGTACTGTCTCTGGCTTCACATAAATCCTTTTTGAGTTCCACAGGAGGAGGTGGAAGGCTTATTTATAAACTCTGAAGTAAAGATGGAGAGTTTCCCAGAATAGGAGCATTTCTTGTGTTTTCATTGATTTCTTTGCTTTTGAAAGCCACATTCCTGAAGAAGAGGATGAGTATCCACAATAAGTTTAATTTTGTGATTTATCATTTACTCCCTCGGTGAAGAGAAAGGAAGGTAAAAAATATAATATAAAATGTCCTGGTGCTAAGAACCTCCAGGGCTGCTTGCTGCATCCTTTGGGATTTTGTTCAGTAACAGTCACATACCCTTGGCTCAAAGAACATAAGATATGAAAATAGCAACCACCACCAAGAGCATTAAATTTATTTACTCAAGGTCGTGGGCAGTTGCTGCTCCTTGGAGGAGTCTTGCTTGTGGTAGTGTGTTAACAGTGTCCTGGACTGTAAATGCAACCCTCACCAGAGGTGCCTTAAAAGGTAAAATTTGTTTTATAGTGATGGTCAAGCTAGAAAAAGTAGGAATTGATGAACCTCATCACACTGGATCTGTTTATGGGTAGCATAAAAAATAGTGGCATATTACAGGGCCTACCAAGGGAACACCAGAGGTTCACCTTCACTGTACTGTACCTGAGTTCATTGAAGGGAGTATTCAATGAATCTTCCTCACCCTCAGTAGTTGAAATAGATGAGGATGATCTAACCCAATCGATATTTTTGCTATCAGATAATTTGATTTAATGCAGATTATACTTTCTAGGGAGGAACTCCATAATCTCATAAAAGTTCTTGCCCCAAATTTTTCTCTCTTGCTTTGCTAAAGCAAAGTTCGTGCTCTGACCCAGGTTCCCCTACAGCAGTTTCCACAGTACATTGTTATTTTAAACCAGTTACATTTTTTTTTTCTAATCCCATTCATATATACATCCTTTTCATTAATATCTATTATTTTGCATTCCAGGCAGCATGTGTGTCAATTCTAATCAGAATTATATTTGCCATATGCCATGCATTCTAATACATTTCACAGAATCTTTTTATTCAATGGAAGTCTAAAACAGTGCAGAAAAACAACTATACATGGGTTTACTCACAGAAGAACTAGCAGGTTTAGGTAAGTTCTTTTACCTTCACTTTTGATTTTCTGCTTTGCACATGGGACATCACATTCCCATGCTGAATGAGTATTTATTTCAGGATTTGAATGGAACTTTTGTAATACATTTTATTTACCCTCTTCCCAACAAATACCAAAACTGCAAACTCCTATTGCTGCACTGACAGTGGTGAAAACCAGCTCTGAATGGCACCCTTCAAGAAAAACCCCATATTTCTCTAAAAAATAGTAGTTACAATGGTTTAAATATAATTTTATTGGGCACTATCCAACTGCTTTTGCTTTACAGACCACAAAAACATCCTGTTGTATATTGTATAATCACAGTTTAGTCTGTCAAGCAAAAGTTACACGTGACTCTTGTATTTATAAGCTCATCTACTCTTACCAGCATCATCAATTATAATTATGTTAAGCATTTTCACAATGAGACAATGTAGTTGATTATTAATTCTAGCCTTGCAACCTTCCTCTAAGTACTTCATACTCTGTAGGTCAAATTCAGCTCTCCAAGATACACTAGAGCAACACCCAAATCTCCTAAACCTTTTATGAGATTCAAATCCTCCCACAGACAGACCCCAAGACACACCTGGGAGAAGCAGGGGTAGAGCACTGGGGAGTCCTGGGGAATCATAGACACTGGCAACAGACAGTGCCAATGGCTGGAATAACTGGTGTTCTGCAAACAAAAGTGTTGTCTACTTTTGGAAAGTACTCTTTCCTTACCCTGTAAGATTTTTAAAAATTAATACTTTTGGTTGGGTTTTAATCTGTTGTTGTTGCTGGGTTGTTGCTTTTCTGAAGAACCTCGCTTCCCTTGCTTTAATTTCACCATCTCTGAACATCAAGAAACACATAATCATTGTGAAATAGGTTGACTAAGAACAGTTGCACAGTTTTTCATGTTCTTTTATTACACAGAATAAATAAATAAAGGGAGACAACCTGCATTATTTATAATTTGGGAGTATTTCCCAAAGGCCAGGGCACTTTCATTTCCTTGGCCTTCTGATAGCAAGGTCTGCAAGGCTTGAACACTGGTGCAACTTTGCTATGGCCCAAGCAAGGGTTTAGTTCTAACTCTACTAGAAGTGCATTAAGTTACTCCCGAATTATCAGAAGTAGTCAGCAAATAATTCAGACTGACTCATTTCAGTAGCACAACTACTAAAATAGTGGGACATCTCAGGGTGATGACAAGTTCTAACCAACCCCATTTTTAATTAACACTTAAGGCCATCATCCTGATTCCAGTTCTGTGTAGATTCTAAACAAAACACTAAATATTATCTTAAAAGTAGCCCATGAATTGACCAAACTTCTACCTGTCTTCATGTATCTCGTCTAATTTTAGCCTCTATTTTTGCCAAAACTGGGAATTAAAGCCACCTCTACCCAAGCCAGTGAGTTGGCCCTTAGCATCTATTCCATCCCATCTACTCCATGCAGCTTAGCACAGACAGGAGAACACCATAGGAATTAAAGCCAAATTCTAGTGTCTGATAATCTGCAGCATGGTTCAGCAGGTGGACTTCGTATGACAAGTCCCATGGTACAAGCCTGCATTTATGCCTGTGATATTCTTAAACAAAACAATAATACACACAAATCTCCTGTATAGAAAAATAATATTGAGATGTAGTGTGTTCAGTCCTAAACACTAGAGGCATCTGTGAATGCCTGTATCAGGATTTTTAATTTAAAAGTCATTTAGAATTTTCTGTAGTTAGGTTCAGCTGCCCACTGCTGCATGCACATATTTGATGTAATTTCATATCCAAAAGTTACAGAAATTACACCCTACTTTCCTAGAATTACCCCTTTAAAAAACTAGTTTAGGTACCCCTCAGAATTCTTTAGTCTCACTTTGGCAACTCTAATTCAGCTTTCACATATTCAAAAGAAAACGGGAAATTGCTGACTTTGCTTAGAGATAAGTTACTGTTCATCCCCTTAAAATTTGCATCCTGGAGCATCCTGTCATCTTACTAGACTGATGTATCTTCATTCTCCATACATATGATGTACACTTTTCCAAAATTTGTTGACTGGGATGTGAATGAAAGGATCGTGTTTATTTTCCACTGAGGAAAGGCTGATAACTAAAGATGGAATATACATGGCACATCCTCTAGAAACTCTTTTCCCAGCCTGGTACAAATCTCTGGACTTGCAGCCAAGGTGGAGTTCAAATAGCCAACAGTCCCATGTGACAGCTCAACGCATCAGAAGATTTCAGCAGTAATTTAAGAGACAAAATTAGGACCAGCCCTGTCTGTGCAAAATGGCAAGTTACTAAAAATGCCACAAACCACAAAGCAGATGTTAACAGGAATGTGGGCACATTAAAACCCATTAAATAGATAAGCCTTAACTGAAGCACGAGTTTGGCCTGCTGGAGTGGCAGAGCATGCTCTGAAACTGTGCAAGAGAAATGCTACATCATGCAACATTTCCCCATGTGGCTGCAGAGGGGAAATGGGAGTAGAGAGGGGATTGGATGTAGCGGTCACTACCAGCACAAATAAAAAGAAAATCTAATCAAAGCAGCAAAAAATAATTAAGGGGAGCAATTAGGAACAATCCTAACAATGAACTATGAAACCACCAGAACAAAATAATGCAGCAAACTACTGGAAAAGGAGGAAAACTCCACCCTGCCACAAAGGAAAGGAGTCAGTGCAGATTTTGGGTGAGCTGCAGAATGTCTTTTCCCTTGCAGCAAACAAATGAGACCTGTCTCTGNAGATCCCTGCCAAGGTTAGCCAGTGTCCAGGCTCCATACCCATATCCAAGAGCTATTAAGGTATTTGCCTAGCTGGACTAAAGCATCCTCTTTTTAAAGTAAAACCCAGGATATCTAGCATTTTTAGAATCCTTCATCTTTATAATAATTGGATTTCTACATACATTGTTTCTTGATTTTTCCAATGCCAACCTCAAACTTAGGAGTTTTTTAAGTAGAACACTATAATTTGTGATTTGTTTTTGTAAATAACTTAATGTTATTTCTTGCTGAAAATGCTGAGAAAGCAGCTCCCAAAATAAGTTCTTCTGAACCCAGATTTTTTTCTGATATGAACCATTAGGTGCAAAGGGATTACTGACCTACCTGCCTTAATTTGAACCATACATGGTGCACGACTTTGGTATTTGTGTATTCGTGTCACTCATCTGTGAGATGTATTAGTCATACTGCTTTTGACCTATTTTTCACGAGCAGTGACTCCTCCTCTACTGAGCATCATGAGCCTGCCAGCACTGTGACTACAAGCCATGAATTGACAAAAACAGTGCCGAGCCTTGGGGCTATTTATTTCCCTATTGAGGGAAGAGGGAGAGAACACACCACAGTTTGCCCAGCTGGGTAATAATACAGGATCATGAATGATTAAAATCCACATGCTGTAAAACTCACCTTCGCTATCTCTCTGCTGATGCATTAAATTAAAATCAATAATAGGAGAAATGAAGTGATATTGCTCTGACAAAAAGAATGACAAAAATAGAATTACATGATATGGCAGGTGATTTCACACAATACAGACATAGGAAGAAAAGAGACTAAATTTACTTGGGGAAAAATAACATATTAAAACTAGAAGTAAAAGAACCAGGATTCTTAAAACCTCTCTGAAAAGGAAAATTGCCTCTCAGAAAACCAGAGGGTTACAGCCATTAATTTCCGTTCTTTTGACAGGTGTCACCCCTTTCTACGTTACTCAGCGTTTGCAGGAGGAAATGGTGCTTTGCATTAGCTCTGCACTGTTTCCCAGAGGGCTGCAAGCCTCATTTTAAAGTGCAAGTCACAAGGCTTTTTTATAATTGCAAATGAGAACACATCATGGTACGTTCGCTTACCTCCACAACTGGCCCCATCAGCTTGCACGCTGCTTTGGGCTGGAGAAGGGGCTGTGTCCTTGGGTGCCGGCAGCTGGGGAGTTTCCTCCTGGGCTGGCAGAAACGCAGAGCACAGATCAGTTTCCAGGGCTTGCAGCTTCAACAAAGAATTCTGCAGACAAAAGCAAAACATTGGTCTGGGTAGAGAACAACAGGGATCAGCAATTGCTCCTCAACTCCCGGAGCCCATCGGCAGCGCCCGCAAAGGGGTGTTCTGCTGCCAGCTCCGGGAGGACGTGGAGAGAACAAACGTGCACTATTCCACGAGTTTCTTGACTCCTGGTTATTTAAGTCCCAATTTACATGGATTATTCATGGCACGTGGGGAAGATGACTTTGTCAGCAAAAGACGATTTATTCTAGGAAGACAAACTGAGATGGTGTCCCTCTTCTTGGGCTTGAAGCAATACATTAAGGAGGTATTTCATTCATTGGGCTGACATCACGATCTGATGACATTATGTCCCTCCCCATTTACCATTCATAAGAAATCAAATCTCCCTCTCCAGCCTGTGTGTGCAGTACACAGCAGTGAACAAAGAGTTACTGAGAACATGCTCACTCATGGGATTCTTGGGAGAGAGGTTTTTTTAATTGGCTGTTTTAGAGATACTTCATTATGTAGACATGGCTCTTATGTGGATTGCTGCCGCTTCTAAATGACAGGGATCATTTGTGATCCCCTGCAAAGGTAAAATCAACACATCATTGTCACAGCATTGCACTAAAATCAGTGACAGGGACAGTTATCTGCCACATCACTTCCAGCCTCTGTACCATGCGTGGTCCAGCTCTGATTTGAATTTTTAATGCTGCATGCGGTACCGAGCTGCACACAAGCATCTCGCTGTGATGGAAATGCTGTGAAAGCCCTAATCACCATCTGACTGGGCAAAATGACTCACTCCCCACACCCTGCACATTCAGCTCCCCCATCTCAAGGGAAATAGAGCTTAAAATATAAAATAAAACCACACAAGGCAGTCTTAATAACCACACAGCTGGCACATACAGAATGTATGTATAACATTAAGTTGCTCAAGTGATGCATATTTATGAGGGGCATTTTCTGAAGAAAATAATCTGAGTAGCAATGAAAAAAATTCCTCAAATTTATACCATGAAAACTGCTTTCTCTACTCTGTCAAATACTTGAAACCAATTTCTTGATTGGAATTAATCAATTTTATGAAAATTGAATTGATTTATTGGCCTGATTTCCTATGTGTGGCAATATATCACCTACGTAGTGAGTAGTGTAATAAATTTTTGCATTATTTTTGTTGTAAGGCACCTCTTTTGTAAACCCAAAGATAACTTCAGGTTAAAAAAGAAGAAAAAAAAAGAAACTAGGTTGTTTGAGAAGAGTGGGGAAGACTTTCTGCCTTTATCCTTTCATTCCTTTCCTAGATATCAGGAAAATTAAGGAAACCTTCTCGCCCCTAAAAGCTTTCAGGTGGCAGTGCGTTTTCTTCTCAAGGAAAGACTTGCATCTTACATATGGCACTGTTTTGGGAAGCCCTCATTTCCCATTGTCTCTCATCCCAACTAAACCCAAACGAAGTGGCTGTGGAATTATCACAGACAGGCTGAATTTTACATTCATTGATGTCATCTAGTAAAAGATGACCATACCAGTTACAAATGAGTGAGGACTCTGATCCCAGACTGGACCATACCAGGAGAACAGCTGATGAAAATTAGAGAGAGCACAGATGACAAACCATAAGAATGTGCCAATAAGGAAAACATAAGTGAATGTCTGACAAAAGGATTTAACCTTCATGGAGTGTTACTTCAAGCATTTGAAAAGAAAAATCCCATTTCAAGAAAATACATTCACTTTGCATCACTATTCCTTAAGATTTATAGGAAGTTCAGTGTAAAAGCATTGTCACAGACTACATTATTAAACATCATACTTCAGCAGTGCTGTAATTCACCAGCTGGCTTATATTCGGTTGCTCTAAATTATATTTTTCACTCATCTGGGGAAGGAGGGTAGATGGCAAATTTCTAGCCACTGCCAAAACACTTAAAAATAGAAATCATATAATAATAATACTAGAAATACCTTACCTATTTTCATGAATGTGCCCTTGACAGGGATTTGAGAAAAACACTAAGTAGCTTTGATTGTCTTGATGCTGCCAGGGAGAGAATGAACCCCATTTTACTCCTAAACCACAGCAGTGTTATGGCACTGCCACACTGCACTATCCAGGAAAAATCACCACAAATTTACAGGAAACATGGCAGGAGACACAGCTTAGAGCAAAGGCCAAGCACAAAGGCCAGCACATCTGCTCTGGGAGAGAATCAGCCTGTGCACACGCTGCTCCCAACTCTCCCATGGCCAGACCTGTCCCTGGGACTTGCCTGGGCCATCTTTGCTCACGGCTGGTCAAAGGAAGTTGCTAAACATGTTAGAAGCCAGTGCAAACAGCTGAAACACACAGAGGGAAAAGTTAGGCCATGGTGGGCACCATTATCAATTTGAGAAAACCTCTACATGGAAATCCAGTATAACTGAAATAATTTAAGCGATAGCCTTTTGTATCAGCTAAGATATCAGTTCGAATTCTTCAGATTTGGTGCTAACCCAATCTTGAGCTAAGCCAATTCCACTAGAAAAAAAGGATTGTACATCATTACAAATAATGGTAAAATGAAGATACTTATAGGAAGCTGGAGAAAGACAGGAAGAGAAACAGCGTGGTCCTTCTCACCCATTTGTTATTTTTTATAATACTTTAAGAAAACACAGTCTCTAAAGTGTCATACCCTTGTCTGCTGGAGAAAGCAGAGTACAAAAGGAACGGTCTGCCACTCCCAGAGGAAGCTCAGCATGTAGTAGAGACACCTTCCCTACAAACAACTAAGCCTGGGCTCACTGACCATCACTCCTTCCAACCAGTGATTATTGAAAATGAAGAGGGGAGGCCTTAGAGCAAGGAATTACTGAGATGACAGATAATCTCTTACATGTAGAGATGAATGCCACACACTGTTAAATCCCTCTGGAGAGTGGGACACAGAAAGAACAAATTCTCCCAGTTCATCACCAAAATGCAGTGGCACCGAGAGGCAGTACCCTGACATGGCATGGGGCCATGCACAGCAGGATCAGCATGGCCAGGAGGCCATAGCCTGACAGGAGACAATGTGACAAATGAGAGCCCTTGCCCTTAGAAAGAATTTCTTTCCCTGATAAAGCATTACTATTATCAGCATCTTTTTTTCATTCTTGTGGACATCCAAACGTTTGATAAATTTAAGAACTGAGGGAAAGGACCCAGGTGTGCCCCAGCCATGAGCTCTGCCCAGGCTCAGTCAGGAAGCTGACTGCAGGGATGAGGAGCAAAGCCCAGGCTTGGTGCTTTCTGCATAAACTGCTATCACCCTGACCCACACACAGCGTTCTTGAATGAAAAGGATGCCTGCACCCTGCCCTTGGGCCTGCTCCTGTGCCTCCCAGACAGGAAGGCAGCTATTCTATTATACCCAGTTTATTGATGGATTTACTGGATTTGTTAAATCGGCTGGGGCAGAGGAGGAGAATAATCCAAGCTTTCAGCATTTAATAGCCTTTGAAGTGATTCGTATTGGAAAGAAACTGAGCAAATTTCAACCTGTTCCATTTTTTACTCTAAGGAAACAAATGCTTTTATATGTCACACCAGAACAGCTTTTTAATCTGAGAGTTCAGGTTAAAATAAGATAGGCACATTTTATGCGAACATAAATAAATCTCTGCAGTATCCATTAAGGCAATATTTGTGCCTTGAGGCATATGACATTTTCAATTCTGAACTTCCTTTATGGGGAACAAACAAGCAACAATAAGATAGAACAAGATATGCCCTGGGTCTGCATGATGCCATGGGTGAGCAGTGAAGAGAGACACCATTTTCTCTACTCCAGAAAGAATTTATTTTCTTATGCCACAGGTTAGCAATAGACATGACACACACAAAAAAAATCTATGTTTTGCAAAAGAAACCACCAGGTTGCAACCCTTGCTCATTCCTTACTGGTTATTAACAATTTGTTAATTTCTAATTTCTAATCTAATCACTGGTTTTTATATTTTACACTGATTTATTTATTACAATTTTTTTTTTTAGCCTGTAAGGAATCCTTTACAAGGATTTTTAAATTGAATCCTTCAAGCGGAAGCTTCAGTGAACATTTGCATTGGGGTTTCTCAAAGAAACAATAACTTCATGGTTTCTCCCAGGGCCTGAGGTGGCTCGACAGAGGCTGAGTGTACTCCCTTGTGTTGGTCAGTGAATGCGCCCTGCTTGTCAGCATTGAGATTTTCTACAGTGAGCTGCACAAGTGACACAAAATGCAGAGGAAACAATTCACTGCAAGGAGAAGATTAGGTCTGAATTCCTTTAAAAGGATACATCTTTGTCTTCCCCTAATGGAAGTCAGGCATCTATTAATAGACACAGACTTTCTCTGACTCATTATGGAAAACAAAGCTTTCTTTTCCAGAGTTTTTCAGGAATGGGCTTCTCTTCACCCAGCTCTCTTCTCCCAAGGCCTCTGTTGTGTTGTCCTGGCCTACACAAAAAACCCAACTTTTCCCTGTGTGAGTCCCATGTCCTCCACTGTCCTTGCAGTGTGAGTAGACCCCGCGCTGGGTGCAGTCCCCAGGTGTGGGGCGATGCTTTACAGGGTTTCCCGCTTGGCACAACTGCAAAGCTCGGCTTTACCCTCCCAGGATATTGCTGACTGTGAGGACCTCGCCCAGGCTCATCCATTGTTCGGCATGGTCACAGGAACAGCTTTTTGTGCTTCACTCACACTGTGCTCCTGGCATAACCCCTGTGAAAGCAGCTTGTTTCAAGTGTTACCAGTGTTATTTGGCTTTCCTGGCTCCCCCTCTTCAGCTCTCCCCTCCTTCCATCTTACAACCAGAGCACGTTTTAGACTCCACGCACTGTTCATAGTTTATTTATGCTGGATATAGCAAGCCTGAGAAGTCCTTATTTTTAAAGAAAACATATTTAACAGATGAACCATTTTGAGCTGTAATACGAGGAAAAAGGCAAACATTATTGAAAGATGTCACTTCACTCAGTCAATATTGAGTGTTTGATTCTTTTCTGAGTGTAAAGTTGGCTTAAAATTTTTTAAAATCTCTTGTTTCTAGCTTTTAAATTATTTTAGCAGTCTCATATCACACTTTTAAGCTTTTCTCCAAAGACATGACTACAATGATTCATTAAAAAGCTAATTTAGGATTATCAAGCAATTACATTATTCCAAGACCTTAAAATTAAAAAAACAAACAAACAAACAAACAAAACAACAACAACAAAAAAAAAACCCAAAAACATCTACTCAAAAATTATTACACAGTATTTCAACTTTTGGTTACACTTACCGCATTTAAGTTGTTTAATTGATCAGTCGCTTCTTCTGGTGAAATGCTTGTGTTCTGATCTATTCTACAAAACAAATTTTAAAAGATCATTCAATAGATTGCATATCTGCAAATATCTCAAGCTTTTCATCATATGACTATATAATTTATAAATTACAGAATAATTTTAAGTTGTTTTATTTCAAAAATAGCATTTCTATGAAAGTAACATCTCTCTTTTTAAACCCATTCAAAACAACAGTGATTTTAATGGAATCCTAAATATTGAATTTAAACTGTTAATGAAGTCCTGGAAACTATGACATTAATATCTGGGCTCACTCTGTTGTGTCAAAAAGTTCTACAGATGTATAATGTGTCTTGGTGAGCTAACAGGGTTAAAGCCAAGAAAAAGCTTAAACACATGCTTGAACCTAAGCACAATTTGTCCCATATGCTTTAAATTAGGAACAAGAGTTTTCCCATATCACAGCCATAAAGAAGAAATCTTTCCATATTTAAATTTGATGGCATTTCAATCTTCATCCTTCTGCTTTTGCAAATTTCAAAAAGGCCCCAGGTGCTTGGAAACCCTTTAGGAGAGATGTCCACATTCTCTAGTGAGTGTCACTTGGCTGCCATCAGAGATGTCCACACCTTTGGTTTTCTCTCAGTGTATTGCTGCTTCTCCCCGTGGGAAGAGGAAAGGAAGGCCCTGGACTAGTGAGGGGCAAGTCTCTTTCCCCTGCCTGTGCCCCACCCAGGCAGATGTGGCCCACACAGCTCCCAGCATCAGGGTCAGGTGCTAATTCACTACACCAAGCAATGAAACTGAAGTCTGGAAACAGCTTCCCACAGACTGAGCAAGCAACCCCAGTAGCTGCCCATCACCACTCTGTTCATCCCCAAAACAAGCTGAGGCTTTTCACATTGTGATTTCAGAGCCTGACATGGGTGTAGCACAAGCTGACTCTCAGCTCAGGGGAAGTAAGAAAACTGCAGCTGTCTCAGAGAAAGAGATTTGTCAGTGCTGAAAAAGTGGTGATATCTGCTGGCCCCTGGAGACTCACTCAGAGATGTGATCAAATCCAACACAACACCCAGATTTCTTTGCATGAAATAATTCATAGTTTTCTAAGCTCAGAGTCATCCCAGCAAAAAAAAGTAGCTGTAAAGGCCTCTAGAGACTTCAAAACCAGAACAGAGAGATGCAGAGGTGTTTGTTGTAGCTCTTCCTGGATTTGTGAGGCGTTTAAAAACTGAAATGATGGCTATGCCACTTCTCTTACCTAACCAGACACATTAGATAGCTACACCAGGGTGAGCCACTTGGCTCCAAACAGGATACAAGATGTGCAATTCCCATAGGAACAGAAATGAGCCATGAGAACAGCAAAAGGACTAATTTAATAGCAAAGAGCGAAATATTTGTAGTTTGAGTTAATAACACATAAGGAAGCAGCTGCAAGGCTACAAACAGCTGAAGAACTAATTTACTAATGCAGAAAAAATATTTAGGGTGATTTATTGCATTGAAGTAGAGCTAGACATGAAGGAAAGGATTAAAACAACACATGTCAGATTTGTACACTTCTGGTATTCATTTGGATGACTCCTTTCAGGGTGCATAACAGCAAATGGGAATTCTCCTTAATAAAATAGAGACAAAAAAAAAGCAAAAACAACCAACCAAACAAAAAACCCCCCCACCAAACAGTAAAGGCTAGCAGCACTTTGTACAGGAACTGTACAAGGTTCTACATAATTCACAGCTGTATCACTCACGAGTCTTGCACTCTGGAGAGTAAAAGGTAAAAGGTTTACAGCAGCCATGAAGGTTACCACCTCTCTCATTCAGGTTAGTGTTCTTGCCAGCTGCTGTAGGATGCCTTTAATCTTTCCTTTTACTGTTGCTTTTACACTAGAAATACTAGAGTAAGATGCTCTTATTTATGCATTCTTTGGATTCTGGAGATACTGAAATCATTAAGGTGAGTAATTATTTTGGTGTGATGAGCATTTACATTTTCAGTTTCATGGGTGCCGAGCTGATCTTACTCTACACAGAGTTTTGGAGTGTGCTTTTTCATTTTCACCAAGATTAATTGCTCTGCTATGCAAATGCAGGTTTTCTGATTGTCACCAGGCAACACAGGGCTTACAATTTAATAACAACGGTTTGGATCCTACTCTCATTAAAAGTCAATCACAAAATATCCATTAACTTCAAAAGCAGTAGGAACAAGCCCTAATTTTCCATCTGTGCTGAGTACATTAAAATTATTTCAGGCCTTAGCTGAAATTTTGAATAATTGCAGGCACCCTTATTTTGTATAATTTACATCCTGTAAAATAATGAAAATTAAATTTTCTCTGTGGCTACTACTCAAATACACGTCTCTCACCCTCCTTTATAGATTCTGGCTTTGGCAAAATTATCCTTTTCTCCATGACAGAGATGGCAAAGATGTTATAAGTAACATGTATATTTGAAGCTTGTGGATATAACAACAACAACAACAACAAAAATCTAAATTCTAATTATCATAACAGAGCTCTTACCAGACTTCAAGTGGGAGATAAATTTGCATGAGCACTGTGCTGTTTAAAAAACAGACCAGGACATGTGAATTTTTGAATTATGCACAACATCACTTTTAAACCTGCATAAAATTCAAATAAAACCACAAAATTTTAAAAGCTGGGGGAAATGTTTGAAGATAACCTAAGCAAATCCCCACCACATTTCCTCTGTGAAACTCAGAAAAGAGTATTACATTTTGTAACTTGCAAATCTCACTCCAGTCCAACTATGATCACAAAAACCCCATCCCCAGGCTATTTATGGGTTTACACACCACAATGCCACAGGTATTGGCATTGGTGATGCCAGGGTAAGTCTTGCCCATCAACCTCTCAGTATTCTGTGGGATGAAACTCCTTTTCCAAAGTCACCTTCAGTCTATCCTGGCCCAATATTCCTCCCCTGTATCCAATCCAGGAGCCAATTCCACCCTTCCCACCATGAGGGTGACCTGGAAGCTAACAGCTCATGAATGGAAGTCTCAGGTCCCTGTCAGGGGACTGACTCAGCCTGTCCAGAGTTACAGCAGACGAGTTCACAGGATGGCAGAACACACAACCAGCATATCTCAGCACCTGGAAAACAAAAGGCTCCTTTCTGGAACCTTCCCAGATGGCAAAAAAACATTATGAAATCCAAACACCTCAACATGGGGCTACAGGTGGATGCTTCAAAAGCACACCTATGACTCCTCAGAAAGCAATGCAGAACTGCAAAAGACTTTGGGGTGAACATGAAGTGCACACCTGCAACAAAAGAAAAATCCACCTTGAAGGGCCCAAGGGCAGTCCCTGAGTGCTGGAATAGGAACTCAGAGAGCCAGTGTAGCAGTGCCTGTCTCATTAGTCCCAGCCCTTATGTAACCCAGCCAGCACCTGTTATTCTTACTACCAGCAGCTTCATACTTAGCAGGAATTGTCCTTACTGGGGCTGCAGCAAGAGCTGTTCTTATCTTCCTCCTCTATCCTCTCCCCATCCCACCTTTTGCTTTTTTTTTCTTTAATCACAATGCAACTCAAAAGCTTGCTCAGAGACTTTTCCATGCCTTGGTACAAGAAGTATCACTGAAACCATAAACAGCAGTACTTTAATACCAACATCTCTGAAGAAACTGTTCTTAGGAACCAGTCAGCCATTTCCCAACTTTCTCCCTGCTCACCTGGCTGCCTGTGCAGGTGAAGAAATGCAGCCTCTCAGGCTCTGCCTTGGCCATGCAGGTCTGCACAGGGACATCAGCACTTCTGCAGATTCCCTGCTGCCTCCCACTCATCTCTGAGTTGTAGCTGTTCAGCAGAAAGCCTGGAAACCACAAGAGTTCCCACCTGAACCGCACTTTCAAAATGCACTTGCCTTGCTGGATCTTGGCCTCCCCTCAGGGAAGCACAGAAGCCTCGGGAGGCTCTGGCTGACCCCACGATCCAGCATTTCCACTTCTCCTGCAGAACAATCATAGGTCTGACAGCAACCGCCACCCTACAGCCTCTTCCAAAAATAGTTCTAGAATCACAGAATAAGGACCAGTCCTGGGACCTGCTAAGACCTGTTAAATGAAACCATTCATTCCCAATTTATTTGGGAAATGGTGAAAGCGGGGGAACTTTCAGGAATTTTTCTTTGGCAGAAAACTTCACCCGAAACTGTAGTTCTGAATTCCACACTGACTTGGCACGCAGCCTTCGCTGAAGCATTGACCTCCCCACTGCCACGGAGAGCTTTGTTTCAGCCTCCTCTCTCTGTAGCAGGCATCTGACAAAAGCACCAGGCTCTGCTCAGGTAACTGCACACAGCCTGCAGCCCACTCCAGTTTTGCTGATTGCCTTTGAGAAGGCAAGTGACAGGAGCAGCTGTTTGTAATCATGTGTATTGTTTCATGCTGGCTTTTCTAGTCTCTGTTAAAAAAAAAAAAAAAAGGCAATTCCTTTATTTGTTCCCAGGACCGGCTTATAACTTTCTATCAAGGTACAGATTATATTGCACTCATATCCCAACCGAGCTACACACAATGACTGGAGCAGTATCCAGTGTAATCACTGGCAATAGTATTAGAAATTCATATTCTGGAAAAGAAGTTTAAAGATTCCCTTCCATACAGATGGTGTTTCATCTACTAAATTGATGCTGATGTTCATAAATCATACATGATAAACACCTCTTGAGATTGAAATCCTTGCTCCACAGGTCAGGTACTGCTTAGTCAAAAACAAGACACTATTCCCTTATTCTTCTGGCTGCAAATCTCTTCAAGTCTACTTTTCCATTTCCCTCAAATCCCACAAAACTTTTCCTTTATTGTTTCAGTGGTTACCATAAAATGAAAGTACCCTCTCAAACAATACACACTTCTAAGTCATAATTCTGTGGATTGTTGCTCTTACATGGCTTGGTTTGTTCTTCTCTGTCACACATTTGTTTATGAGCATTCCTTGTTAGAATATCCTAGATTTTTCTGCTTAATGGAAACTGTACTGAAAAGTTGTTCATGATTTAAAAAAAAAAAAAAAAAAAAAGTTGTTCGTTGATTAAATTATCTTAGAATGGTAAATCCAGGATCATTATTTAACAGATTTAGCCCTTGTGGATAGGAGGCTTTCTAAATAGCTACTGTGGTGTTAAACAAGCATAAATAGCATATTGGAAAATGGTTTAATACCAGGCAGACTAAAAAGGCCAAATTGTTGAAGTGGACAGGGGAACTTTGCTGCAGTTGTTTTTTATTCATGAACACTTCAGTCTGGTTCCTATCTCTAAAGTCCGTGTGTCTTTCATCACATTCCTTTTAAAATTAACCATACACAAACATCCCACCAGCAGAGCCACTGGTTAGGTCTGACTGTCTGATACCACACTCAGTAAGCTCCTCTTTACAAGAAGTCCCTGGGATTCTTTCCTTGCATAAGGAATGACAGAAAAAAGAGAAGGCAGGCTTCCTAATTAGAAACACTTCCTGAGATGCAGCGTTTCAATTGCACTTCAATTTGCATTGGAGGGCAAAAGCACTTTGTTGTCCAAGGTAATTAAATGCTTTTTCATTCTGCTAACCCTTTCTTGGAGTGCACAAATTAAGGTCTTTTACAATGTTGCCTCCTAAAAGCTGTGGAGAAGGCAACCAGTTCATGTCACATAAAGCACCAAAGTGCCATTGGATGGCAGCTGTCACTGCTGTCCTGCTCCTGACTGCAAATAAACCTTGAGCCAGTGAGCTCTAGCTGCCAACCAGCTGTGCCCTGAGCCACTGAGCATCGCTGGGATGGGCTGCTGCTGCTGAGACCCTCCAAAGGGAGCCAGAGGCTGCCACAGAGCACCAAGGCTCTTCTGCACATCAAGACAAAGAGCAGAGACCTGGCTCGCCTGACAAGAACTCTGTGCACAGAAAAGCAGAGCCAAACCAGCACTTGAACATTGGAAATGTGTGAAGCAGTGCCTCCAGATTTAGTAAGGACTAAATCTTATCCCTAGGACACACCTTCACTTGTCAGTTGGGTGATTTGAAACCCCATTTTTAGCCTTTTACATGGCCATGATGGATGAAAGTAGAAACAGAGCTGAGTAACTTCATCACCAGCTGAGTTACCTGCCATCAAGACTTGGTTAATGCCAGACCTGAACACACAGTGCCCCTCCAGCTCCAGAACAAGTACAGCTGCCACAGCACCCAGAGTCTAAACTGTGCATAAATGGATACCCTTGCTATAATCAGGTGTGAATGTTCCCTTTCCTATTTCTCGGAGAATGTGGCTCAGAGAAAGAGAGGCAATTCAGCACTGGGGGTAAAAGAAAAGAAGCAGAGAAGTATTTTTGAAACTTGGCCCAGAGGAACTGAAGTTTCTAAACTAAGGATGTTCTTTCTGCTTCAGATGTAAGGGGTTTAAAGAATGATGAAATTTGCATTCTTATCTTTATCCCTTTTGCTTTCTCCAAAGAGTCCTAGATGCATAAATATAGAATACACTGCCAACAAGAGCCAGGAGTCTGAATATTTTATGCAGAAGACAGCAAAATAATTAGCCTTTCCTACAGTTAATCAGAAGTGAAATGTGCTGTGTTATCCCAAGTCTTACCTTGGTTGGAATCTCACAACTGCTTCCTGGCATTTCAAAGCCACATTCTGTGCATAGTTATTAGGTGAGGATCCAGCCTTCCCCTGCCATTCTGAGACGCCTGGCAATGCACACTCCAGCTCCTGCACAAAGAGGAAAAAAAAGAAAAGCTGAATGTGCCCTGTCAGTACCAATCCAACCTTAGCTAAATATTTTGCTTCAGGAAAAAAATGCTCCTTGAGACCAGATGCTGGTTGAGGATCTTAGTTCTTTTTTGGTATTAATCTGGAAACAACTGGAGAACTCAGAAGACAAAAGGTTCTAAACAAAGTAGCATGTTATTTCACATAAAACAGTTTCTAAAACCAAAGCAGACTGTAGTTTTTCTGTTTATTACTTAAATAACAGATGTCAGCTTCAGAGCTAAGAGGTTCTATACAAAGAATGCATTTGAAATTATTTACTCACATGTCAGTAAGATTTTATTACTTGAGCATCATGAAAAAAAATCTGCCTGACAAAGGCAGGTGCAGTTCACTTAAATAGGGTATGTAAAATTTAACCATTTGCCTCTTTCCCTTCCCTAGCTTATGTGTAGCTTAATGAATAGAGTATTACTCTGGGAGGAGGGAAAGGCAGTGAAGGGAAAAAAGTCACATCACCCAATCTGCTACATAAAATAAAAAAGGGTAATTTAGTCCAAAAAAAAAAAGGAATAAAAGAACAGGAATGAGAAAAGTATCCATTTAACTCCAAGCTTTTGAAAACCAGTTGTAGGGCTGTGAAAAGATGTGTTCAGCACATCTTAATTTCCTTATCTATGAAATGGGTTGTAATATTTCCTTTGCATTGCAATAAAATAAATAAATTAAGATATTTGAAAACCTTTTTCCTACCTCTTATTAGCTTTTGTAATTCAGTATTTTAGTCTAATAGTTTACAAAATTGAAATACAATGTGCTCTGCAAAGCAACAGAGCTCCCTTCCCTGCTAAAGCAATGTACCTCGCTTTGCTCCAGTTTCAAAGCTTGGTTGGATGCATGGAAATCAAAAGTTTGGATAGGGCTCTTCAGATGGGAACTTGCAGGGCAGAGAGAACACAGCAATTCCAGGTGCTTTCAGCTGGATGAAGGGGAAAGCTGAGGACACGTGCTGGCAATACGCCCTTGGTTGCAGGCTTGATGTTTGAGGACTTGGGGGCTTTGGATTGTTTCTGTAGTTTTTTTCTCTTTTATGTCTTTGTTGCTGCTCATAAATCATGTCATTAGGGTGCTAACAAGTAACACCAGGTAAATACCCTTGATGGAATCTCTGTTTCTAAAGAGCAGTGAAATCCTGATGTGTCACAGGCACCTCCAGCAGAGCCCTGTCTTCTACTGCGTTTTTGCTTCTTTTTCACTAAAGAGGGTGACTTTTACAAGGAAGTTGAATCATAATAAACATAATCAGAGTGTACCAAGAAAATGAAGCAAAACTTGCAGACAGCTGATGTGTTCATGTGTTTTTGCAGCTGATGTGTCAACATCAGCTCTGGCTTTTTGATTACTGTGCACTTAAAATCACAATTTTATTGTCAAATTATTGGAAGTTCTTTGACGTTCAAGCAATTTGCGTACTTCATTTTTACTCAAAATACAAAACTTAACTCAGCAGTTTTCAGCATTTTCATCTTAGGCATTGATCATCAAGCCACCATTTCATTTTTATAGCCATTTACCTTGATAATAAGACTGAAACTGAACTTTTACTGTCTCTGCCTATTAGCCAGGAAGTTTGGTGTCCTTTTGTAAATATATCCCAATATCAATAGAGAATTTGAGAATGACTCACTCAAGAATCCATACTCATGACTGTGCACCAAAAGTGAGTGACAGGAGAAAGAATTTGGCAAGGAAAGCAGACTTTCTATTCCTCTCCATCTGTTCTCACACTGACTCCCTGGAGTATGTTCTGGGCATATGCTTCTTCACCTCTTGAAGTCAAATAAATCCTAATCAATTTGATTTCTTATAGATGAATGTTGCAGATCGCAGATGGAACCATGGGAAAGATGAAACCAAGTAGCTGGAGTACAGCAGTGCAGTCGCATTCCAGCAGCCTCCTCTCTTCCCATACTCTGTTTGGAAAGGTTACAGCTGCCTCCAGAGCCAGCTCCTGCCCCCAGAGAAATAACTGCAGGCAACATGCAAAGTACAGCTTTACTCTGGTGACATTTTATCATCTGCTAAGTGGTCAAGTGAAGTCACCTGATGCTGCTCTTTTATTACACTTGGGTTTTTTAATCATCAGTGTAAATCTAATAACCTTTTCTTCTTGAAGACCAAAGGCACATGACCACAGGGCTACACTTATGCCAAAAATATCAGAGGCACAGGAATCACGCTTCAGCTGAGAGCCTTGTGAAGCTCAAAATCCCCAAGCTGGATATCTTTCCTCTACTTGATCACAGCTGCCCATTCCCTCTCAGAGACCTTTCTACAATGGAAACTCCTTGGATTCTCATAACTAGAAAGGCACACAGAAATGGTTCCCATCGAAAAAGACTTTAATCCTTCAAACGTACACAGCAAATTTATTCATCTCCCAATAGCCTCTTCTAATTTGAAAGGGACAATTCTCTCATTGGCTTATAACACATAAGAGTAAATAGCAAAGAGTTCCTTGGCTTATCAGAGCAACACCTTTAACAGAGATTGTGTCACTGCTCTGGTGTCACTCCTTCTGATGACACAGAGAAGTCAGGCTGGGGAAGTGAGGAGACTGCTGAAAAAGCACTCTGTCAATAATCTCAGGAAAAGAAGGATGAACAGTTTTATCATGATGTGCAGTGCATCCCACTTTTCTTTCATAAATGCATGTGCTCAGAAAGTGCTGTTTGTCAGCTGCTTTGGAGTACATCACTTATCCCATCCAGTGGCTTGGTGGCAAGGGGTTTCACCAAGGAAGGTTCATGCAGTTAGAGTGTTTCATCACTTCTGTCTTTCCTAGTTCAAGCCCTTGAGTCATGTGAAAATTATCTGCCTGGCACTGTTTTTCCTTCCAGAGACTGCACACATAAGTCACACTGGTATTTTATGGCAGTCTAATTATATACACAAAAAATTTCCCATTAAAGAATTTTGCCATTTCCAGTTAACCCCTTGGGGCCATGTAAAATGCCACAGAGCAGCAAATCTGTGCTGTGTTGGCTTTCATTGGGTGAGAGGTACAGGCAGGACACACACAGGGGGCTCGGAAGAGGCTGAAAAAGCAACAGATGACTTGCCCCATTTACTGCTTCTTCCTGATCTGCCTCCACTTTCTCTTCACAGGGCAAAATCCCCATCATTTTTTCTGTTCAGCTGATAAACATGACACCTCATCTCCATGCAGGTTAAATAATATTTTCTAGTAATACAATACAGTCGCAAAAATAAAAACCCAGTTACTGCTTTATTTCTGGATTAGCTCCAGAAGAACAGGCAGGAAGCTTAGGGCAAGAGTTTGACATGGATATTCCGAAAGAGACTGTGATAATACCATTTGTCATTTGATTTTCATTTTCCTTCAGGGATTCAAAAGGACAGTCCTCACTTAGAAGGTAAGATATACTGTCTAAAATGGTGAAATCCCATTCTAAACTTGGTCAAAAATAATTTCTAGCCTATTATAGGTTTAAAGCACTTCAGAAAGAGCTCTGCAAATTTCTATCCACAAACAAGAAGGGAGGAGAGACAAAAAGTAGCCATATACGTTATACAGCAAAGAAGAGATGGAAATACAGACATCTGTATTTGTGTATGCACAATTTTATGTAAACACAGACATCTGTATTTGCAGATGTCAGGCCTTGTGCCTACTGCAGACCAACAAATCTACCAACATTAATATCAACTGTCTTGGATATGAGAATATTTTCAGTTGAGGGCTTTAATCTGCACCAGAGCTCTACCCCTTACACTGCATATCCAACAGGACTTGGGAAGCACCAGGGAAGAACAGAGGCATTTTCAGCAGCTGCTGAGACATAGAATTCTAGAATCAACATAGTAAATATACCTGCAGAGACAGCAGCAGAGAGTTCCTCATTTCCTGTCTTCCTTAACACCTTTTACAAAGTTTACAGTTCTGCTCCCCCCAGCTCAGCCTAGTGGGGGGTAGCACTGCTACCAGTATACTACTGCACGGGTATGGACTTACTATTGAAATATGAGAAAAACAGAAATTAAGATGAAGGAAAACCATGGAATTTCTCTGTTTGCAGCCAAAATACCAGCATAAGAGATCCTTGATCAAATAAACAAATCAGAAATTGTCTAATCAAGTGCTGCAGCTAACTAGTTTTTGTATTTAGTGCAGGGAAACACAGGAAAACTAAGGAGAAATATTTGCACGTCTTCAACTATGCCCTTCACTCACTTCTGAAATAAGTTGCAGCACAACCCTCTCTGCAATTTCCTAGCTGAAAGAAACTGTTGTTACAGGAAGGTTGCAGACTGCAAGTCCCTGGAATCAGGGTAGGTTATTGTGAGATGTCAAATCACACCATTAATTACCAAGGAGCCCTCTTTGCATTTCAGAAGTTGCTTAGACATTGTGCTACAAGCCCACCTCTGGTAAATTCAATTCTTTACCTGACTTTCCTCATGACTTTTTCCATTTTCTATCTTTGCAATGGGCTTAGGTTTCCTCAGCTTTAAGTTGCCCATTTCAGGCTTTAGACTGCAGTCAATTACAACCTGCTGCTTGTGCTGCTGAGTGTCTTGCAAAGGCAGCTGCCTTTCCTCTAAGACAGCAGAGTTGTCCGGGTAATTTTCTTTGTTATCATCATCTCTGTAAGAAAATAAAATTGAAATGCATCAGGCAGGATTTCCGACACCTGTCAAAACATTATGAAGGAAAAAGAGCAACAAGTCTTTAGCAATGGTATATTGCTTTTACTAAGTTTAGTGTTCTACACATCAGTAATGGGTCTAAACTACTATTAGCATTATTACACACTCAACTGTGGAGCTACTTAAATGTTAGCTTTAGAGGCACTCTTGGACTTCAGACCTACAGTTCACATTCCCCAAATAAAATCTGAAACTGTCCTTTTCATGCAGAAGACTTCCCCCATTCAATGATTCACAGTAAACGATAATCTCACAAAAATATCATCACAGAATAATTCCTCTCAACAACACACTTCCCTTCTGATGGTCTCTGCCTTTCAGGTCCATCGCACAAAGGGAAGGAGGAAGCCACTCAAAGCAAGGTCTGAACAGCCAGAGGTGTGTTTGGGGAAACCTCCTCCTGTGTAAGAGCACATCTGGTGGCTTGAACGGACACTCATGAATGCTTAATCTGGGATCTGGGACAGATGTTTTCAATCCCCACCCAGACTACGATGTGCAATCTCTGTCCAAGGAGACCTTGCTAGTGTCATCCACATCCAGTCACTCCATCCTTAGCCTGGTCTCGTGCCTTCCACTGGGAGCATCTCCATGGCTCCACAAAGGTACTGCAATGCAGAAGGCAAGGCTGCCTGAGGAGCTGGCAGCGTGAGCTGAGCGGCATTGCTGCTCCAAAATCCCTGCCTGGAGCGTGGTTTTCAGATGGGATTTCAGATGTTAGCTTCAGCTGGTAGCATCCTAATGGTTAGCTGGTAGATGACCTCTCTCCTGGTGTGAAACTTTCACAGCTGAGGGACTCAAAGGCTATTGAATTAAATCCCCCTGAGATTTTCTTTTTTTTTTTCCAGAAAGCATAACTTGCTAATTCAATGTTTTCTCCTAAGGATTTTGAGCTGCCAAACTCACTTTCCATCTGTAGCCCATCAGCACCCAGATGGATGCTTGCAGGGTGCCTGTGGAGTTGAACACCATTGCTGCCCATGCCTTCTGCAAGTGTACTCCAAGGCAGTTGTTATAGTTACAGCTTTATAGCCCACGGGCACGCCAAGAATGTGCACAAGTGTTGTTAATTTTAAGGTATCCTCTGATTTTAAAATCCTCCTGAAAGTTTAAATTGCATACCCTAGCAATCAATATGCACTAACATGGCCATGAGAGAGGCATGCCTCAAGAATACTTCAGTTAAATTGCAATTTGAAAGATTTTTTTCCCAGACACACACAGCAACGAGCATATCCTTGCACAGTTACAAAACTCTGCTTACTACTGCTTTGTACCAGCTGCTGTACAGTAAAATTCAGTGTGTAAGCACCACAGCTGCATCTGAATGACAGGAGTATGATGTGAAGTTAAGACTAGAGACCATAATATATTTACTTACACAATAGCAACAGTAATTAATCTTCATATTGTTCAGACAAAAGTACACTAGATAAATATGTATTTCCCAGAAATACTAACAGCTTTTGCAGGTAATACCCCAGAAATTCTGCATTCCCTTGAGAATAAAGGTTTCTTTCTAATGGTTTAACAGAAGCAGTCATAGCTTCATTTGCTGCCAAGGATTTCAGAAAAACTTTACAGGAGAGTACCTGGGACTGGAACTGCCTGCTTGATCTTCATGCACAGAGTCTGAATATCCGTCACACCTTGAAAATGAATGGAAGATAATTACTGATTTTCTGCCAGCTGCAGAAACTTATCTTTTAATAACATTAAAGTGCAGCTCAAATTATAAACACATTTCTTCTTCTCCTCACACTTTAGTTAGGGTCATTTAATATCGTAGCTGTTCCATGAAAGTCCAAACCTCAGAGGAAAAAGAGGATTTGAGATGTTAAATGTGCACAACTTAGCATATCATTTTCAGACAAGTGAAAATAATTAGAAGGAATTCAGATGTTACAATAAAAAGCACAGAAAAGTTACAAGAATTTCTGTATTCTAATTGCTTATAGCATACTTCACATTAACCTCAAAAATAATTAGACACAACCAAGGATGTTTTTCTCCCAAACTCACAAAAATATTAACTATGATAGACCAGTCACCCTTTGTGCAGCAGGAAAAAGAATCCCCAACTAAATTATGCAGTGAGAGTTAGTCTTAAAAAGTGAATTAGCAGTATTTTTTAAGATGCCTAAACAATTATAATCAATTACTTCCTTTAAGTTACAAACAAAAGAATTGTCCTAAGGCTTCCTAGAGTCTGGATAAATATGTTAAACCTCAACCACTGAGAGCTGAACATGACACTGTGGCTGCATGGCTGAACTTTGCAGGATGAATTAACCTGCAAAACCCATGAGCAGTCTTTCTTCAAATAAGCATCCATCCGTAAGCATGCCCTCCTAAAATATGCAAACTCCGAGCTTGGTATTGCTGGGGTAAAGTCAGAGCCCTCTCCTCACCATCAGTTCATACTCACAGGGTACAGACACTAAGGAGGCCTGAATTCCTTGAAGTTTCCTGGCAGAGGAATCTCTTCATTATGGGGGAAGCAGCCTGTACTTTTCCTGACTTACTATATTTTGAGAAGAACTGCCCCACTTCGAAGAGAGTACGTTAAGTGACACATTCATAGCTCTGTGTTGCAGTTTGATGGCAAGATTCCTCTTCCTCACCAGTCTTCTGCTGGTGTCTATATCAAAAGTCAGACTGCAGCAGAAAATATTTAAAGGGCCACTCAAGTGTTTACACTTCCTGAATACATCAGCATGTGCATGAAAGCATTTGCTGCTCACAACTCGAGCAGAGAACTACAGTGGCAGATCACCCTAATCACATGATATTCCTGCAGTGAGTGCAGCTTTCCCCACACGGCAAAGTGGGATGATGGATGGAAGACAGGGCTTGATGTGCAAAATGTGAAAGTTCACTGTAGAAGTCTGATTGCCTCTGGATGCCAGTCACACCTTCCCCTCTGGCCAATTCCTGACTACCTCATGGGAAACAGCAAGGGCTGAGAGCACAGGACACACTGGGGGTTTGAATAAGGAAGCCCAGTGTGAAAGGAACCGGCTGTAGAACCAGGAGGAATGTTTCAGAGGGACAAAACAACAGAAAGAAAACGCATCATGAGCTCCTCATAAGAGTGCCAAGGTCAGAGCTGGATGGACAGAGCTCCCAGCACAGATACAGGAGAAGGAAAAGGGGCACCATGGGTCAAGCCACGGCCAGCAAAGTCCAGGGATCCCCTGAAGGGACAAACTCTCCCTCCTGGGTGTGCCTCAGAGAGAGGAGGTGGGAGGAAGCAGCTCTGCCACCAGTTTTGCTGCCCCCTCCTCTCACCAGTCACCTCACTTGGCTGCCTTCAGTCCTGAAAGACCGTGTTGGCAATGGGGAACACTCTGGAGGGACAATGGATGCCTGAGCAGAAGTCCAGTAGCCAAGCCAAGTCCAGTTAAGGAGCACTCTCTTTAACTGGAGGAACTGAGCTGGCTGTAAGGAGGTGATCTCAAGAGGCAGAGGTCCTAACTCAGCATCCAGCAATGGATGGAAGTCATAAAACAAGACACAGCTTATAAAAGACATAAGTGAGTGAGACAAAATGTATTTAAGTAACTGGATGGCAGTAGATAGGAAAGATAAGCAGTAATGAGTCAGAGAATGCAATGACCATCATGAAATTTAAAAGATCGTGGGGAAGTTCAGAAGCAACACACTTGAAATTTTCCAACAGAAATTTTTATCTGTGCAAGAATAAATAACTACCAAGAGGCTGAGAGCTCACTCACACAAGACAGTGCTTGAGGCTAGGATATAGCAGGACCTTTAAAAAGATGAATTTTTTATTTAATGCAAATATCCATCATTAGAGCATAGAGTGTTTCTACATAGATTTCTTAAAGAAATGAGCCTTCTGTGTTCATGCCACGTGTCTGCACATATCAAAACAAACATGCACACCTTCCTTTCCTCTCACCAGTAACTTGTAAATCTTGTTGTCTACTTTTAGCTGCATTTAATAGATAGGGTGATATTTGAGAGTTTGATAAGTTTTTTTGATAGTTTGTGGCCATGTAGCAGAGAGACTTCCCACCAACCAAAAAACTGCAGCAGCCTCTTCCTCAGTCCTAAACCACCAGAGAATATGCCACAACAGCTTCAGGTCAGAAATCCAAATGGGTTGAGGCTTACATTGGGTAGGAGCTGTCTTTTAACAAAACCAGTGATGTGAATAGTCTCTCCTCAGTGCCCAATCCTGCTATTGACTGATGGATATCTCTTATGGCATGGGCCAGAGTCAGGTCAGAGATGGGATCCCAGCCTGGATGGAGTGTTGCTCTGAGCCTGGATAGTAATGCCTCTGTGTTTCTTCCAAGGTCTCAGGGTTAATGGGACCAGCTTCTTTAACTTTTTTCCATTTTCACCTTTCCACAGGAGCCATTTCAGAGCAGAGTTGGCTGACTTGACCTTTCAGATGCTCACGAGAGCAGCTGCCAAATCGGGCTGTGTGCACGGCTTGCTGGGAGCTTCGCACCCCCAGGCACTCGCCTTGTCTGGAGAAATGTTCCTGAGAGTGCTGTACCACTGGCTTTATATCGTTCAGGAAGCCCTGGCTTTGCCTTTGTCATAAATAAAGACAGAGATTGTTATATGAGGATGTCTAGATTTGCACGGTAAGCTCTCTCTTTCTTCTGCTAAATAAAAGTAAATCTATTTTCATCTGTTTTCAGAGATGGTCAACACAAACAATAAGTCCTGAAAATTGTAAGAATTGTGTATCCTCAGCAGCTCTCAAAAGCAGGTCTTTTTGATTCTTAGGGAGAAGGCAAAAAACGAGACTTAGAGAAGGCAGCTCTGGAAACCAAGTTTGTTCAATTAGACAATGCTTTTCAGATAGCACTGTTCACTTGCTTTGTTTTCTAAAAGCATTTTTCTACCCCTTTGTTTGGAAATATAAGATTAAACATGAAATCCCACAAACAAGAACCAACAGCAGTCGAAGTGAGGGAGATCCCTCTCCATCTCCCCAAGGGCAGGGCTGGCACCACACTTGCAGCTTTTATACCCTCCTGGGTTTAACATGAAGCCCCACAGAGAAAAGCCATCACCTTCAGGTCTCAGAAACCTCAGGGGTGAGGCAGGCCTAGGAACTGCTCCAAAGGAATCTCTACAGGAAACAGTGGATGTACTTAGGGACAGAGAAAAGGGGAGAAGAAAAAAAGAAAGAAAAATATATTATCTGTAATCTGGCTATTTCTCTGTAAAGGGGGAGCAACTCATAATTTTACAGGCCACAATTCATCACTTATCTAACAGGAACACAGGAAACAAAAACAAACAAGCACACAAGCAAACAAAAACCCCTCCATGATTTATTAGCTTCAGTTCAATCTTTCCGTATCTACCCCAGTCACACAAAAAGTGTGACTAAATTTAAATATTAAACAAAGGAAAGGAAATACAAGCAAATAAAGAAAAGCAATATATGAGAGCAAAGTTCTTCAGATTCCTTTGAAATATTACTTTTCTTGTAGAGGTAATGACAACACTTAGGGATGGCTCAGATGATTACAACTTGGCCTGCTTTCAGAATGTCCCCTGTCCCCGCAGCCCTCAGCAAACAGCTCATTGTCCAGCTGGGGTGTTTTAGATTATGAGCATTTTAGCAGTGTAAAACTCACCTAATACACAAACAAATCTATACATAATTTTCCTCCTGAACAACAGCTTGGCTCCTTACTGCTGCAGAATCTTCCCCAAAAGCTTTTGAAACAATCAAAAGCATGCAAAATAAAAATGCACAGAACACCAATATTTACGTGGTTTAGACTGAAATAAGACAAAGACTATTTCATTTGCAATAGTTCCTAGAGGGTTTGGCTTTCTAACTTTCTAATGTCCTCCCTTGTTCTGTTGTCTCTGTAAAAAAAAAAGAAAAATCAACATATACATCCTTATGATTTTGATATATACAAAGGCCATCTAAGGAGTTTATGGAATCGATAACAAAGAAATGATGTTTTTGGTACTTGGACTATTTAAATAATGTGTAGGGATTTTTCAAAATATTTCCTAATGAATTTTTTTTTTCCTAACAATGCTTGTGGTAAGTACAGACTGTGTGCCCTTAGAAAACAGACATACTTGTGTTTGACAGGATCATCAGTACCAGAAATGAGCAACATTTTGACAGGAGGTTTATCCGACACTGAAAATCACTCACTTAAACATGTGTGATGTGCACCCAGCGTATATTAGCCCCAAAAAAGGTATTTCACTGCTAAATAGTCACAGAGCATTTAAAAGCAGCTGTTTTATGCAATCCTTCCCATACAGTCAATAATATATTTAGATTACAGAAAACTCAGTCAAAATATATGATAGCTTGGGACTCCTCACATACCACTTACAAATACTCTGTATGGTAACTAAACTCATCATTCTTGTTTAAAAATAAGGACATCTTTAAAGTGTTCACTTACTCTGCTAAAGCTGTCGTGTTGAAGGACTTGTCCTGAATGCTGAAACAGAAACAAGAAAACATCAGATAAATCAGCAAGGCAGGCAGGCTCCCTGTATCCTCCTCAGTTGTAGGAACACATGCACAAACATGGCATTGCGAGGCACGTCTCTGTGCGCTCGCTCTGCATGCACGGCTGTACCTTGGGCTGCTCTGCACATGCTCATAATCAAGAAACCACAGGGATTAGTCCTACAACACTCACAAAGCCCAGCCAGCAGTGCCCAGAATTCAGGCAGGGGTGCAGGTAGACTATGAGGCTTGGATCATGATCTTTTATAGCTGTAACAGTGCTGTTAATAAAGGTTTAGGTTTACAAACAAGTATTTGGTATTCTGTCCTTTAAATGTTTGCTCTGTGTAATTGGCTCATCAAATGCAGGGTTTTTTTTTTTTACTTAAATAGCGTTGCCCTATATAAAACCTGGAGGTTTTCTTGTTTAGTGGTCTCTTATATGTTCAGCTCTCAGCTCTTGGCCAAATCCATTTTTTTTCTATGAAAAGAAACCAAAACTGGCAGAATGGACAGTTCAACTAGGAAAAGGTTATTAAGCTAACAGCAAGCAGTAGATTAAACCATTTCTGTGAAAGGAATAGGCTGCTGTGCTCCTGCAACAAAATGTTTCTGACCTGATGTAATACATTCAGCAGGGTCAGCTCAGGATATTGCAAACTGCTGGGTTTGAAGCAAACCCCTCAAATCCAGTGAATACATTCTTGGGTCATCCTAAAATCTTACAGCAGTAAAAAATTTTAAAAAATTTAGAAAAAAAGAAAAAAAAAAAAAAAAAAAAAGAAACCAGCAAACAATCTCGCTGCTACATAGCAGAGGTGGGATTTACTGTTGTTGTTGTTGTTGTTGTTTGGGCTGGGGAAGAGAAAGCAATGCAGACAACGCCTTGCGAGCACTCCTGTTTGTGACAAAGGCATCTCTGAGACGCCAGCATCACGCCGAGCAGGGATAAAGAGAGGCACCTCCTCCTCCTCCTGCTTCCCGCAGCAGCAGCTTGTGCCTCTGCGTGGTGTTGACACGCATTTCCCAGGCAGCAGAGGCAGCCAGGAATCACAGCCCTGACGATCGCTCTTCTTTCACCAGCAGCATTAACAATGCATCTTCCCCTCGTCCCAGCCTCCCCACCTCTCACACACGCTGCCTGCTCTATTATTTATTATATTTGTGTATATATATATCCATGTGGATAATGGTATGAATTACCTGGGGATCAGAATATCACAGTTGGTCTGCAGGGATCTCTGCCCTTCAGAGAGGCAGGTTTTGCAAGAGAAGGATTAACAGAAAAGCTAAATTTAATGGTTAGTAATTAAATCCTGCCTTAAAACTGAAATTTCAAATTTTTTCTCCTCCTGTGTCCAGTTCTATTGCTCTGACCATACAAATATAAATTTCTTTATTGCCATTCAATTTGCAGAACAGCAACTGAACAAAGATATTCTAGATGTGGTGGGAAGCAAAAGCTTAATTTGCGTGCTCAATAAGTAGAGTGTCATTAATAAGAAAGGCTATTACTTTATTATTTTTAAGGAATATATTCCAGAATGCTTAAGTGAAAGCTTGACTCTCGATTTTTAGTGGTTAGGCTGGGTTCACAGCTAGAACTTCAGGTGTGTAGTGGAGGAATCACTACATTTTATCACAAAATCACACCGGTAAGCATCACAGCTTGGCTGGAGTAGAATTTAAAGGACTGGGTACCTACCCCCACCCCTACAAGAAAGGGAGCTCTTACAAACATGACTTCTCCATTTGTGGGTGCATAAGTCAAGGTCAAATGCTCTGCAAATTCATTCCCTGTGCAAACACACTGTGGGGCTTTGATGTTATTGCTGGGACGATAACATGACAGAAGATCAGTTTGTAAAACAGGGATACTTTGGACTGAGGCCAAGTTTAAAGCATCATAATTTTTCTGTTGTTTGTCTGGACTTTGGTGCTGAACAGCAATTGCTAAATCTCCTTTAGAGAAGCACTTTACATTGCAGCTCACTCACAAACTTCCACTAGTTTTAAAGATAGCATTTGATTGGTGTAAACGGAGAGTCTCTTCCTATAAGGCTGTGAAACCATTCAACAAAATGAAATTTCACAGTAATGACAAATGCACATAAGTAAAGGCCAGGCAAACTCAGGAACCTGTTTCAGAGCAATGCCCTGGCCAGATAAATGGGGCACCCCTGCTCCTGGGGAACACAAGAGAGGAACTACAGTAGACTCACAGTATCTTTTCTTCTTTTACCAGATGGAGGTCATTTGTCTTTAGGGGCAAACACTCATTTCAACAACGCTGTTGGCTTGAGCCCTGTTGGCTGACCCCAGCTCCCTCCACATTGATGTGCTCGGGGTGAGACCAGAGCAGCCAAAGGGGTGAGAGCCTCTGGCCTCACCAGGGAGAGCCAAAGGTGCTTGAACCTGCATCACTGTTTCCTTCTGAGTCCCAGGCATGGAGAAAACCTAAAGCTGCTGTTACCTCCTTATTTTCTATAATGACATGCAAGCCAATTAGGGCCATAGTGCTATAAAACATCACTCTTTAACACACTGAAATTCTCAGTGCCAGATATATTTCATCACCACTTTCAGATGACATGCCAGGCCTCTCATCATCTTGAAGTCTCAATGAAAACAAAGCTACACCTATGTGTGAAGTAAGCTTTGAACTTCCCTACTGAATAACAGATAAACTTTTAAGGACTTTTTATTTTTAATTCATCAGAATATGTATTTCTGAAATTCTGAAAATAAAGGCTTTTAAATCAGTTTTTCCTTATTTCTTCTGAATAGTTTCAGTGAATAATATTTTTGCAAATCCTATGTCTAGGAAAAGACATCTCTAAAGAAAAGCTTCTCATTTTATAGCCAGTTTTGTTCTTACCCTCTTTTGCCAAATGTTGATCTAGCCAATATAAACAACACATGAAAGCCCTTAGCTGACAACAAAAATGTCAGAGATCACCAAAGCAAACATCTACATACATTTTGGAGACACCAAGATGCAGAAATATGTCACTGTTCACTTCTGGAAGTTTGACAAATATATTGCCTATATATGGCTGACAAATAGATTGGCATAGAAAGTCCATTCTTTATTTGGTTTATATCATCAGGAGAATTACTGCTAGGTCAGAAAGAAAAATTAAACAGGAATCACAGCATCCAGCTTGGTTTTGCACATAACAGAGACACATATTCAAAATAAATTATAACTTCATAAGCTCAGAACAGCATTAGCTGGCAGTGAGTGCCTTACAAAGGCAGTATAAGTCTGCAAAAGGAGAGAGAGGTAGTGAAAGTGGGCAGAAATAGTTCTGGCAGAACAGGAGAGTATAACAATCAAAATGTCATAAAAAGGAAGGAGGAATACTGAAGCTCTCCAAGCTGCAGTTGCCTAAAAAGTCACACATCCCCTACGCCCATATCCCTGCAGGCTTTGTGGATCTTTGGGTTCACCTGCAGAACAGAATCTTTGCCTCAATTTCCCGAATTTGCTCATCTCACTAAATTAATGTTTTCTTTTTAAGGGCTTTTCTGACTCAGATAAATCATGAGGCCTTTCAACCCTAACTACAGAAAAAATGAATAATTTGTACTGGGAAATAAACTGTATTTTAAAGGGGAAATTACACATTTACAAAGAACTCTAAACTCTCTAAGGTTCTGGGAAAGTTAGTATTTTGCAAGTAATATCTACTACCTAATGAAAAACTCAGTGCAAGCCTATAGGGTGTGATTTGCATTTATTGCCAGACTATTTTCTTTATTATTATTTGTTATTCCACAGAGTCCAAAGCGCCTGTGCTGGAATTGCTGCATCAAAGGCAATAATGGTTTTCAGTGCAGTCAGGCCATACAAAGGAGCTGCCCTGGGCACCATGCAGGGACTGAGAGGCACAGTGTGACACACACACACACACTGCGGGATGAGGAGCCCAGGGCAACGCCCTCCAGCTCGGGGAAAGAAGTTACTCATGTTCCACTACCCAAATACAGGAAAACTTGGAATGAGCTCTCCACTACTGTCTCTCTGGACGAAGTCAAGTCATCCCTGCCAGACCTGGCTGAGCTCAGAGACTCATAAAAATATTGAGCAAATTTGTTTTTCTTGGAGCATGTGTGTTCCTGCCAAGAAACAATACCCTGAAGTGCTCCAGCCGTCCTTCATCTCTACCATCTGTACCAGCAGGGAGGTGCACTGAGTCCCACCTGTTTGCATGCACAGCATTTGCTGCCATGAACAGAACACATTCAGCCCCACTGCTCTGAGGAACAGATTAAATTTGACTCTTTGGCAGGCCACACTGCTACTTCTGAGGCCACACTTCTGATTTTTCTTTAGGCAGTAAAGCAGTAACTAATTTCTGATTTTAGCAAGTCTGTTGTCTTCCCACACACAGGATTTTCTTGAGGGATAAAGGCAGGAATCTTTCTGCAGCAAAATGTTAGCACTGTGGATCGCTCCAGTGCCTTGCCCTTTCTTTAAAAGGGATCCTGCAGGATACTTTTGCTATTTTCCAATCTGTAAGGCATAAACCTAGGAGCTGCCATGTGAGAGAGGAGTCACATGCTCTCTCCTGTAGTGATAAATACTGAGTGCTACACGCTGTGGCTCAAAATATTCCTGTGTTCACCGACTTGCTTTCTTGAGGAGCAGCCTGCCTTTTTATGGGCAACATTCTCCTAGACTTTAGCAAACATCTCAGGAGAAATTAATCTAAAATACAGCAATTACATGTAGGTCAGTGAGCACTCAATCCAGCTTCTACATCTTTGATATTCTCTGTGACCTAATTAGGACATCATCTGAGAGGGGGGAACCTGGGGGAAACAGTGCTCAGTTGATCTTGCTGTGTGTCTGAAAATGAACTGATGGTTCATGCAGGAAGAGACTCCAGCTGAGCATAGGGGCAGACACAGTTGTCATAATCCAGTCCAGGGAAATTCCATAAGGTGCCTTTCTGTTGGGTTGGGTAAAACTTTGTGCACCTGCACAGACCTTCAGGGAGTGAATC